CGGCTGGATTGCATCAATGATTCAACATCCAGGAATCAAGAATGAAACAGCAATTATTTTGAAAGGACTTCAGGGAACAGGTAAAAACAGATTTACAGACATTATTTCTGAACTTCTCGCTGGTTATTCATCAAATTGCATAGGATAACGTTCATTATATGCTTTACGTTTAGGATAATCAGATACAGTTAATTTATACCCATTTATGACTTTAATATTACCTTGACCATCAGTAACGAAAACTTCATTTATACCATCAGGCTTTCCATTTGGTCCTGTAATGTCTGCTTCATGTGCTTCCCAATTTGGTCCATGACGTTTGGCATATGCTTGAGCTTCTGGTAATGTTAAAACGTTTCTCATTTGTTTAACATCTTTTTGAAGACCAGCAACAATATGAACTAATTCTTTCATTCCATCTGGAACTTTCATAGTTCTATTATAATATGCACCCTTTTTGTTCGTCCCTTGTTTTAGTGGAACCTGTAGAAGATTTGCTATTTCTGTCATGTTTAATTATAAATAAAAAATAAAAATTAATTATAAAAAGTTAATCAAATTTAACACCTCCTTTATTTAAATCAACTATTATTTTTCCATGTTCACCTAATTGTTGATATTGTGTGTAAAGTTCATTAATGCTCATTGGTAAATTCACTTGATAAAGCATAACGTTCAACTGTTGACGACTAAACCCACTGAAAATGAAAAGTGTTGATAGATTTGATTTAATGTTTGTGCTTAATGCTTTGAAGTATTGAACAGCCATGAAGAATGAACACTGAATGTGTCGACATTGAGTTAATAACTGATTAAAATATGATTTCTCATTAGTTATTAGTTTTGATTTCACCGCATCATCTAGAAAAATGAGTGAATGCAAAAATTCTCTATCAAAATTTGAAATAGAAAGTGTTTCAAATAATTCATCCCTTTGTTTATCAATAATTTTATCCTCTAATCCTTGCTTCTTGATTGTATTATATAATTCTTTATACATTAAAAGGTTTTTTAAATAATCTTCTGCTTCTTCTTGTGATAAATAAATAATTGGAATTTTGATTAAATGCTTTAAAGATTCAAATGTATCATCTGAAGGTGAACCTGAACGGTTGATATAAATTAACACATGTGAATAGGGGGAGGTGTTAGCAATAATGATAATTTGTTTTAATATCGTTAATGTTTTACCTTTATTTTGTTTACCAATTGCTGCAGTGATTGAATTTAAGTAACATTCAGAATATGGAATTTTCATTAATTTTTCCTTAGATAGAGCATTTCTATTATCACTCAATGCTTCATTAATCATATCATCTACGTATGTATTATATACTCCCGCTAATTCTTCAGAATTGAAATCCATTTAATCAAAAATAAATTTATAATTTTAAACATTTCTATTCATCAATATTTCATCATATGAACTTCTATACTGCGGTGGTGTACTGGTTGGATGATATTTCAAACCTTCATCCGGTGTCCATGTCCAATATGTAGTCCTAGTAAACCAAACCTGAGGAGGATTTGTCACTTTTGAACAGTAAGTGTCATTTTCACCCTGAATGATTGGATAAGCTTTCACTTGTACTGTAACTTGTGAGTTGAAAGTTTCTAATCCATCAAAGAATATACCCGCTCCATCACGTTGAACTGGAATAGTGCATAAGAATGAAGTTTGGTCTTTCCATGTTCTAGCTAATGGCGTGCCATTATCATCATTCAGTGGTCTAGTTAATGAGTCCTCGTATTCTTCCGTGCATTCATTCACTCCATCTAAATCAAAAGCTTGAAGCATACGTGTAAAGAATATGTCGCCCACTGTGGTCATCGCTTGATCGGGGAAGTTTCTGGAATCTATAGTGACCTGAAGACCTCGAAGCATTGGATTTTCTAAAACCGTTTCTTTGCATTGCATTCTTCGGAAATGTTAACAAACATCTGTAACATTATGAAGAGCGTATGAGAAATCTGAGCTGATACCTTCAGGAGTGATGCAACCTCCATTTAGTGAACGAACGTCAATATGTTGAGCTGGAATCATGAATGGATCTTCCTTACTGAATAAACGTGGTATTGCTTTAACTGATTCTTCGATTAAACCGTATCCTGGTGTAATGCATTTATCCTCTAAAACTTCCATCTTTATGCATGAAATAATAACATCAACTGTTGCGTCAGCAGATGTGCGGCTAAGCTTGTAATTAATTTGGCAGGAAGTCCGATTTGTTGGAATTTGCGATCATATTTATAAATGATTCATAATCTTTTCATAATTTTCATCAGTTATTTTCATAAACGTAATTTTGTAAATCAGCAACTCTTAACGGGTCAACCCTGACAAAATACTAAAGTATCCCTGAAAACATAATATTTAAGAATGATATCACCAAATGATTTAGGATAATCATCGAACGCCTGAAATGCTAACAAATCATTTACCGGAATAATCATATCAAAAGTGATATCAACTTCTTCATTTGCTTTCTTGAAAACTTCTGAAGGGTCAATATATTTACCACATACTGAGTTATCATATTTTTGAACATTATTATATAACGAATGAACAAACTTTTTAACTTTCCTTTCTGATTTTTGGTTTATATGTTGCAAATGCGAAAGATTCACGGGCACAATCCATCTGAAGATAACCGGCCATCACCTCTTTCAGTTTCTACTTCTAATTGTTTAAAGCTTTGATTTGATGATTTGTAACCAACGAATAAACGCATGCATTTAAAAGCGGCATCACATGTGAAAGCTTTATTTGAAACTAGAGTTGCTTTAACTTTGCGTTTAATATATGTGTCACCTAATTGGTTCACATCATGAGCCGGATTTGTAATTCTTTAAATGAGTTTGTTTATCATCAAAATATGGAGCATCAGAGTCATAGCATGAACTTTCAAGTTCTCTATAATATCTTCTACCGTCATTCTTTGCGAATATTTCATTTATCTTTTCGAATGAATGAAACACATTTCCATTAATCGGTTTAGTGTTTGGCACCAAATGTTAGTCGTCATTTATTATTAAATAAAAAATTAAAATAAAAGATGAAAATGAATTTTTAATTTTAATGAAATAATCAACTATGGCTGCAGGTATATTTAAGAAACTGTGGGATATAAGTAAAAAGAGGAGCGCATAAAGTTTGGGAAACAATGAAGAAAGGAGCAAATTGGATATTTTAAGAATAAAGAAGCAATTAGTGACATTGCTGAATCAATAACGCCAAAAGCTGCCCAATAAGAGAAATTTTAAATAAAGGAGAAAAAGTTTATTCAAAGACTACAACCGATACTAAGATAAAAATAATATTTATTTATTTTTCCACTATTTTACCTCCTATTTTATTAAGTATTCCTTCAGCAATTCCACCAACTGCGTTACCTGCTTGTGCTCCCATTGCCGGATTACCTGCTTTAGTACCTAATACTCCACCTATGATAGTTCCTGCCGTTTTCGCTACTGGTGCCAAAAGTTTGCAACAGGTTTAATAACCTTTTTATAAACCCAACCCGCAGCTTTCTTATTCCATCCCATAAATTAAAAGAATCCTGCCGCCATTTCTGATTTAATATTAATTAAAAATATATTTCATCACTTATATTCTAATTTTTATTTAATGATAAATGAAACCAATTTTAAAAATAAATAAAACAGAGGGGAAGAAATAAATGAAAGTGAAAATGTTCAACAAAAAATAAACGTTGTTAAACCAATTACTGAAATAAAAATTTTTTCATCTGTTGAAGAATTTAATGACTATTATGCTAATAATAAAAAATTATTTGAAGAATTGACAACATGTAAATTGAATAAAATGTTTAAAGTTGATGGATTCAAAATTTCAAAAATAAAAGGAGTGGTTAGTTTGAAATCTATTTCTCAATCAAGAATCACCTCATTAATGAAAATAGATGATTTAACAAAAAGAATAGAAGAGATTGAAGAAAGAATGAATCAAATTATTGATTTCATAAATTCAAATAATCATTAGTTTCAATTTCTTTTTCTCATTTATGAGGTCTTTGATTATGACTCCATTGATTTCATTCATGATTTAAACACTTGTTTTAATTTTTTATCTTTTATTTCATTATGTATGGGCTGAGTGTAAATGTCTTACGATTCTGAAAATTTTTAAATCTTGATTTATTCAAAAACGTAAGAATAAAAACCGTAAGAATCATACATTTTTTACTTCATATGTTAAAAAAAATGATACAAAATCGTTCAATATTGTATGAATTCTTACGTTTACAAAAAAAGTCACACAACCCATATACTCTACTACTATTTTCGTATTATTTTTTGTGTTTAAGCATAAATTATGTATTTACTTATGAAGGATAAGCATTTTATTCATTGTCATAAATATGTACCATAACAAATTGATAAAATTTTAAAAAATTGTGGATTTTAGCGGGTATTATTCTGGCCAATACCCGTTGTTACAAGATTTAATATTAACCATATCAATAGCAGACTCAATGTAAAAATTTAGATATATTTTTTTTCATTATTCAAACTTTAATAAATTTTAGTATAATGAATGATTTTGTTTCGTGTATGATACAGAAATGAAAAGCTTAATTAATATTATTTTGCATTTTTTCAAGAATGTTAGAGTATATCTACATTAAAAAATCAGATTCGAACTGCGATACTGCATCAAATTGATGCATATCTGATAAGGATCTCAAAAGAGTAAAGTTAATTTTTTTGAGTTTTTTTAAGTTTTGGGCCTGAGTAAAACACCATCTCGAGCAATATTTTTGGGACGACGATAGGCCTTATTTGGCCTTACAGTGGACCCTTAAATCAATAATAAAACTTAATTTGTGAATCAAATATGATTATAGATATTAAGAGTGTTTTATTGCTACCAGATATGGACGCTCTGGATGATCTTTTAAAATGGACTCTAAGTCACTTTTTCCCTTACATCTGCGAGCGTTATGAAAACGGTTGAAGGAAAAAAAATAAATTTTGAAATGAGTTCCTTGAACGGGCTTGCCTCAGATTGCCAGACAGAAATTCTTGCACAGTTATACGATGTTTGCGAACAGAGAGGCGTTAAGGACGAAGTTCTCAAAAACGCTCAAGATATGGCAACAGTCGCTTGCAGAAACGTTCTCAATCCAGAAGAAACTCCATTAAAAACATTCGATGGTGTTCCAAAAGATAAAACTTTCGAACTTCAACTTATTTATGACTTCTTAAAGCAATCAGGTTTCAATTTTGCCGCAAATTGCCTTAAATTCGAATCACAACAGCCAGAATTGCTCGAAAACTTTAACCGTCGTCAGCTTGGTAAAGAATCACATTTCTGCACTTACGACAAGACACCATACCTTGTTCAGATTATTCGCGAAATTCAACGTGCTGAGAAGCAATAAAAACATTGATTTTATTTTTATATAAATCGATAATATACTATATTTATGATCTTACAAGAATATTTTCTAATAATTTTTTGATTTTCATTTATCTTATTTTAATAGATACTTCTTGTGTTGTTTTGTGAATATTTGACTTATTTAAATTGAAATTTATCCAAAATTACCAAAAAAATTAAAATTTTTTGATATTAAAGTGTTGTATTAATGATATCTTATTTATTATTCAATGTATATATTTCACAAAGTTGTGAAATAGGAATATTTGAGATCATTTGATCAATTTCGTAAATCTGAGTATTTTCACTCAAATGACAAGAATTTGGTATTAATTATTCGAATAATATGGCTAGTGTGCACATTTCTCTGGCCAATGCCAGAAAATAAACAAAATTTTTAAAATTCAAGAAAGAAGTGAACAATCTCATACAAATAATTTTTTAAGCGTCATGGCTGCGTGCCATAATACTTTCAGAGATCTTTGGATGAGATTTGATGGATTTGCCTTCGAAGGATATTCTTGATCCGGTGACATCTTCCAATTTTTACATTTTTGCGATATTGATCTTGTTCAGATAATTTTATCAATAAATTTGAGAGCCGAAAATGGATGCAAGGGTCTATGTATTTCTTCAGAGAATTGAACCTAAACGTCCGGGAAAATAAGCTACAATTTTATGGATAACAAAAGAATTTGTAATGTTTTAAAAAGAGGGAGTAAAATTTGAATGCATTATTTGCAACTTTATGTTTTAAAAATGTACATTTTCATAGCATTGGTTTTAGATGAGCATAAACAATTATTTGGAATTAAAAATACACATATCGACCAAATAGTAAATTTACATTTTAAAATAGAGTATAAATCAGCGTCTTATTTTCTTAGAAAATCTATAAATGTTTGGGATATCTGATGTAAATCGAGCAAATTCATATGAAATTGATTTGGTAAATGAAACACATTTATCAGTTTTGTCACAACATACAATAATAAGATGATGAATACCGCGTGAAAGATTGTTTGGAATAGAAATTTCGATATTGAATGAATGATTATTTGAATCGGGAATAGAAATTGATTTTGATGCTTCACTGGTTGGATATCCTTCAATAAATGATTTAACAGTGACAAAATCATCACAATCAAGATCAGAAACAAATCCAGAAACTGAAATATGATTGTCAACATTGTGATAATATGTTTCTTTCATTGTATCCGAAACAATTAGAACTGGATAGTTTCGAAAGAAGTCGAAATATTGAGATTTTGGTTCTGTACTTTCTTGAGTATTTGTTGTTGTTGCCCAAACTCTAACTGGATAAAAACCATCATTTACAATAGAATCTGGAATTAAGCAATAACCTGAAAATGCAAATGTATGTGTTTCTGGGTTCTTAATTGGATTTCCTTCGAATGTACTATTGATATCTCCAATACTACAATAAATAGAAAAATCTTCTGAATAAATTCCACTTCCACTGACTTTGATACTTTTATCAATAGTTTTGTTGTATTGGCTTCGTTCAAGATTTGATAATTCAAGTGAAAATGGAATTTCATATTCAAATTCAACTGAAACTGTATTTGATACAAATGTTTTATCATCTGAAAACTTAGAATAAATTGTGTGATTTCCATTTGATAATTCATTTGGGATGTCGATTGAATATTCATATGTTGAAGATCCACTTCCTTTATTAACTTGAGTTGATGAATAATTGTCAATCCAAATTTCAAGGGTAAATGATTCTTCTTTATTTCGATCAAATAAAACTGTTACGATAATGCTTGTGTCGTCATTTAATTTGTATTTGTTTTTTTCTGTTGTAATGTTCATCAAATAATACAATGGATAATCTGCAAAACAAAGTGCTGTAGATATATGTGCATTTTCAATATTAAGTGAATCAGTTGTTGAAATATCAAAATTTCCAAGTCCTAATTCTGATTCAGAACAATCATTATTTGATGGAATGAAACAAGAAGAAACTGTAATTGAAGCACCACTACCTGCATAAAATAGAGATTTTCCTTTGTTGTTTGATATAATACAATCTGTAATAAAAACTTTAACATTTGACAATGCAGAAATAACTCAATTTGAAGATGATGATGATGATAATTTTGAACATTTATTTGAAATAATGTTGCAATGGTTGATTTGAATTCCATTTCGATAATTATATAAACATTTTGCTTGAGTACCATTGTTTTTAATAAATGTTGAATATGAAATAGTTGCATTTAAATCTCTATTTCCTGAAATCCAGTAGACTGAATTATATAATGCTTGTGAATTAGAAATATTTACATTTCGAACAATATTTTCACCATATTCATGACGAATTGGACCTGTATTTCCATCACTTCCAGTGATAGTTGATTCAATTAAGTAATTTTTGGATGATTTATTTTCTGTTGCTGAAATATATGAATGTGGGTATGGGTAATTGTTAATGTACGCATTGATACTGCAGATTTGATATTGAACAGTTTGACCTCGGTTTTGGTAAATGTTGCCACCAGATGAATCAGAGCCATGATTGGAATCAAAAACACTGTTTGAGATAAGAAATCGATTGTTGTCGTTATTAGTGAGTTTAATAAGTTGTGTGTTGTGATTTGTAAATAAAACTTCGTGAACATGAAAATTTCCTGTTTTATCAACAAGGACTGTATTTGATGTATGATCTGTTGGGTGATATCCACTGAAAAACTGATTCCAAACATCATTTGGGAATATTGTAATGTTTTATTTTTGTATATTATCCATTTACAAACAAGTTATTTTTCATTTCATATTTTTATTAATTGGATTTTGACATACTATTTCCACAACCATTAATTTGCCTTATTGTTAGTACAATTACTATAATTTACAACAACATTTCATTAAATATCTAAATAAAATTCATCTTATATTGAATAAATTTACAATTCCTGACACTCAAATGGTCAGAAACTACAAGTATACTATATTAAATAAGAGACTTCTGAAAAAATCTTCCTCACTATGTCATATTCAGAATCCCTGAGAAAGGGACAGACTAGCCCATTGTCACTTTTTAATTTAGCAAATGAACGCTTATGGAGTGGAGTTTTTGGGTAAATCTGATTTGCTTATAAATGAAATAAAATCAAAAGAAACCATATTGGCATTATATTATGCAAAAATAAATGATCTTACTTAGTACTTTTAAAGTTAATTTCAGAAAAAATTTGACACAATGGTATCCGGCACATACAAGTGGTGTACAACCAAAATATAAGTTGGTTTAAACATATATTGCTATATCTCATGATCTTACTTAGTACTTTTAAAGTTAATTTCAGAAAAAATTTGACACAATGGTATCCGGCACATACAAGTGGTGTACAACCAAAATATAAGTTGGTTTAAACATATATTGCTATATCTCATGATCTTACTTAGTACTTTTAAAGTTAATTTCAGAAAAAATTTGACACAATGGTATCCGGCACATACAAGTGGTGTACAACCAAAATTTCATATCCCTAGTTTTACATTTATGTTTAGTTTTATTTCACCTAATTTTCAAAGATCATAATTGAATTAGATGGCCAAGCTATTCAAAACACGACCAAGCTTATCAAAATAAGACCAATATATTCAAAATTCTTTATTCTTTCAAATCATTTCATTTTAATGCAGATCCAAGATCACGAACTCACATATATCGAGTTGCTTAAGTATGGAGTGCAACAAGAAATACAAGCAGGTTGTAGTTATTCATATAAAACTAGGAAAGAAAGAAATCAAATCCAATTTAATTGTAAGTGGCCGAATTGTCCATGTCGCTTCCTTGTTGATACACTTCCCGATGACAAGTACCACATACGAAAATGTATTAACACCCACAATCATTCTGCCCCTTTTCCAAACAAATCACAACAAATTACATCATATTTTTCTAGATCTTATTTAACAAGATATTTTGAATCAAATCAAGACCGTGTTTACGCACAATTAGGTGTTTCAAAGATCTTAATATCCCATTTGAGAGTGGGATCATTCCGGAAATGTTTCAACTATCTACAGATGCTTTAAAAAAGTTTTCTAAACGCCTTCATGCAATCAATACCCGTTTCTCAGCGGATGATGTTACATCTCTTGCAATTTTTGTCGACATGGTTAAGAGTCATTCTCCAGATGATCTCATCGAGTTTATTCACGAGCCAGATCGTATGATTTTCTATTACGCCCCATTCGAAGCAAATGCTTTTTCACATCAAATACAAACTTATCACATTGATTCCACTTATAAGCTCTTGCGCTCTCGCATACCATTTTATGCCGTCACTGGCAAATTCGCGGAATCAATTGTTTTTCCGTTTTTGTATTTTTTCGTTTGGCCCGACACAAGTGAAAATATACAAGTTTGTCTCACAGCATATTTTGGCTCCATCAATCGCGAACCATCTTATTTTTCAATGGACTGCGCACCTCAAATCACAAATGCTGTTGAAACAGCCATCCCCTTATGCCAGATCATTTGGTGTGGCGTTCATGTGCTGCGCGCTGTCATGAGAAAGGCTGAAAAGTTTCAAGATCGTTCCAACTTCGAAACTTTCTATAACTTAATGAAGTTATTGGTCTTTGGTTCTGAAGAGGAAGAAATTGATCCTGATGAATTTACAACAATTTAGAAGAAATTTTAAATGAGGAACCTGCTGCCCGTGAATACTTTGACCGACAGTGGCGCCATCATCTTGACAGGTGGATGCTTCGCTATATAAATGAAGGAGATGGAACAAACAACATCTCGGAATCACATTTCAAGGTTTTGAAGCACCAGTACTTCCCAGAAAGGCGAAATCTTCGACTCGATGAACTTGTCATCGAGTTATATTCCAGTGTTGTTCCTTCATTCCTGATTAAGTTGCAAATTAAAGGTCTGGATTCAGAGAGAAGTGTTAAAGTTATCAAAAAAGTCACAAGAGATTTCGAAGAAATGACACAATTTAAAAAAGTCGAATGCATCAGTATGCTTGAAGCTGTTCAGAAAGGTCTGAAAAATGATACACTTGATCCCAACATTGTTTACTCAACATTAAAAATATTATTGCAAAGAAAACATTTGATTTAATAAACATTTAATTTATTATAATTAATTTTTTATTACAGTATAGTAAAAAATGCTATAAATAAATTATTATATTTTATTAAAATGTGACTTTTAATAGTAAGTGAATAAAATAAATCAGGAATTGGGAAAGAAATAAGGTTAATTAAAAATAATGAAAATTACAAGTTTAAGGTTAATGAAAAGTGACAATGGGCGAGTTTGTCCCCCACTCAGAATCCCTAGCTCTTTGAAAACTAAAAAATAGAAATTAGAGTAGTTTAAGGCAAAGTTATTTCGAGATCTTTAGAATTATTCAGAGATCTCGGAGTAACAATGCCCTATTTAAATAAATACACAATCATTGGCTTTTTGGGGATCAATGGACTGTAATATAAACACATGAGAGAAATATAGTAAATCTAAAAGCTATATTTGAAACAAAAAGATTATTTATAAACAATTACATGCAAATTTATGAAAATAGATATATATGATTATAAAAATCATAAAATAAAGCTCTAACAATGAATAAATAGTCTATGAGGAAAAATCAAAAGATTTTTTGTCAATAATTTCAAAATCATCGCCAGAAATGTTATTAGGTATATTACCTGAGTTAATCTGATTCATAAATTCATTGTATTTTACTTTATCGAGCTTAGTAAATTTTCCTTTGATTGAATATCCATTTTTCCAAAGAGTAATCGCTGTATGGTTTTTAGCTGTATATCTCCGTTTCAGAGGGGAACTATTTTTGGCTGTAAGTCGTTGTTGATATGGATTTTGGGGAAGATTTTGTAAAATTTCTGGATTTTTATCAAATGTAGGATATATCTTTTCTGCATTTAATGAACTATCTGATTCTTCTACTTTTGCTGATTCATTTTTAAGATGAATGAATGCTTGCTCGATATCTTTTTCATTATAAAATCTTTCTTTCTGAAAAGTAGATTTTTGGAACTTGTATTGTTGAAATGTCGGTAGTTCTTCTTTTTGTTGAGGTTCTTGTTCTTCATTATTTTTTGATGAATTTTCTTCAGTAGTTTCATTAGATTCAGGAGGCGGTAGTGGTGGAGGTATATTAAGATTTGGTGGAGGTATTAACATGGCGTCTGCTGATTCACCCAGCAAGTTTATTACTTGTTGGAAAACATTTGCTAAGTTTATACCTGAAATTTGGAGCTGAGGAGTTGAATGTTCTGGTGAATCAGTTGTTTCAGCATGTTGGTTACTTGTTTCTGTATCGTCTGACATACTATAACTTGTATTTTCTGAATTTTGATCACCAGTATTAGAATTACGTGCTGTAGATTGTGAAGGTGAATTAGTAGGTCGTGAATTAAAGTTAGGTGGTTGAAATTCAGGCGGAACTGCTTCAGCTCCTATATCGAAATAAGCTATAATTGCATTGTTCAAATCTCCTGGATTATGAGATATGAAATAGTATGCTGTTCTATAATCTGACTCTGTAATATTTATAAATTGTTCAATATCTGCATTTGATACTCTTGACATATTTAATGTCACTTTTATTCAATCAAAGAAGAAAGGGCGAAGCCTCGATTAGTCTGATAATTAAATTTTTCATGCGAAAATGCTGAGTTACAGATACTTGTGTTTCAAAATAATATGCCATATGAAAGGCCCTTCCATCATAGAATATATCACATATCTAGTGTAGAAGATCACGAAAAAATAATTAAAAATCATATTTTCTATCATATCATCAGATTCGGAAAAAGTATTGTCTAATGTATTAATTTCCAGCAATAATAGTCAATAAAACTGTAGCTCAATGCTATTTGCACATATGATTTAGGATCTATAGCCGAAATCAGATGAATTGAAATGGTGTCTCAATTTATTGGAATAACCGTAAATACCATACAAAACATTGAACTATAACTTTTCAATATTTCAAAAAAAAAGTTATAGTTACTGATTTTGATACCAATAGCATCAGCATACTGTTAAACATGAAATAGATTTCACATCGATGTAAAATATAAAATTTACAAAATACCTCAAAAGTCATTTTTCCAAAACAATGAATTTGAGTTGGTCCAAGCACTCGGTCATCCAACTTCAAAATGATGGAAGAACTATAGACATGGTCGATTTATCTGAAATGACGCCAGAAAATCAGCAATTCATACTGAATACGCAAAAACAAAACCAATATTCACAAAGAAAAAGTGATACACCGCATGTATGGAAAGATACTGTTTATAGATCTGCAAAGCGTACATATCCGCAACCATTCAGACAATGTTTGGAACCCAATCGACCAAATCTACAGTTCAGCTTTGTACAAACAAAACCATTAACAAAAACTAGTCAGCCAATAAAAGCAAGAAGTGCTTCAATATCTACTATAACGTCCTCGAGATCATTATCATCGTCTTTTTCTTTCACTCGAAAACCAAATGTACGTCGTTGCTCTACATGCAGACCATTTGAGTATGACATGGCATATATTCTCGAGCCGAAAAATACAGAAATAAGTGAAGCATTGTCTTCTAGAATTTTAAATGAAGAAGAAAGAAAGATGTTAACAATTCCACCATTATCATATCTACCTCCTGAAAATCTTTGCAATACATTTTAACTTATACAACTTAATTAATTTTCATCAATTATTTTTCTTCCATTTCCGAATAGGTTTAGTCATTGGATGCTCTTATAATACTCATATATAGTACAATTTTATTATTAATTTAGATGATCAGATTCTTTTACTCAAATGTTTCTATCTCATGATAATATTTATAATATTCCATGTTTTCTTTTGTTTGTAAGTTTTAAATTCTTATTATATGTTAATATTATTTTTTACAATTCCTTATTAAGGACATATTTCATGTGTATTAGAATATCTTTTCATCTTGTATTTTTTCCCATGCTATTTAAGGATGTCAATTTGGAAGAAAAGTGAGAAAATTCCTAAAATGCTAAAAATGAAATTTCCAAACGTACTTTTTTATCTCATTTTATTGATTTTGAAAAAAATTTGGAGAGAAGAACTCTTCGTTTTTGAATTTTGTCACGATGGTTTTAAAGTATATTAGACACATGTATTGATATTACTATTTTTGTATATTTTGAGAGAAAATCCCTAAAAAGTGAGAAAATCTAAGACGGTTTGAGAAAATATATAAACTATTGAAAATTTGAATTAAACTTCTAATTTGGAAAAAAGAAATTTGGAAAGAAGAAAATTCAAAAATCGAGATTTAGACTCAGTATCAAATGGAGAACAAAATGTTTCTTCATATGAAGGAAAAAATTTTCTTGAGAAGAAATAGAGTTTTTAAAATTTTATTGTATGTAATGAAATAAACAAATATTAAAATTATTTTTTGATAACAAGAAAATTCCCAACAGAAAATATTTGAGACAAAGAAAAAAAGAAAATTGAAAAATATTACTCTCCTTTACATTTCATGAGATTTTCAATTTATTTTCATAAAATTGACAATTTTATACGTTTAGATGAAAATAAGTGATTTTGCTTGAAATAAAAATTATTGTTTGTTTACAGCTATCAAATAGATTTTTGCTATTTTGATTAAAATTTGTTAATCAAATTCATAATTTTTTTTCTAAATATCTTAAATATCTGGATCACTCACTGATACGATGAATTAAACGATAAAAATAATACAAACTCAACTAAGTTTCCTGTCTTTCAACCAAAAAATATTATGCAATTTAAATTAAATTGTTTATTCAAAGATAAAACAAAGATAAAGTAATTATAATTATCATATACTTTATGAATAACTCTGTAATTGGTTCAGATTTTCGTACAAATATTTTTATTAATATCGATAAGAATATGTTTACCTACTATCACCATATGTCGATAAACGAGAGTAGAGTGATTTTTATCATCGAAACTTTTTAAAAGCTGTAAGCAGGAAGTAATAATCTTGTTTTTTCTGAGTTAGTTGTAGAACTATTGATGCCCGAGTTATCATTGTGATGCAGAAGGATATCAATGTACTGACTGAAGGATATGAATTGAATTGAATTTTATTGAATTTCAATTTGATCAAAATTTGTTGAAATGATATGAATGTGTCAACTTCTGTATCATTCTCCTTCACTCCTTCCTTATTCTTTCGAGAACGAAGCTAGCTCAGCTTTCGCTGAGCGAATTGACACTTTTCATGCCCTAAACGTACATACTCTCAAATTTATCGAAAAAATTAATACCACCTAAACTAGTATATTCTTATTTTAAATATGATATTATCCTTATATTCCACACTAAAATTCATTTAAATCAACTTTTAAAAAAGTTCGAATCCTGCGCGTCTCACTTTTTAAATTTTCCAAATGGAAAATTATATTCTCCTAAAGTGAAAACAATTTTCCAAATTGACTTCCTTAATGCTATGTATTTTTTCTAGTTTCTCTATTATTATACCCTATATTTCCAACTCTTGGAAAATTTTCATGACCCCCTACCCAGGGTCCTAAAATGGGTATTTTCCTCACACAGACACCGTGGTTTTTTGAGCCGGGAAATAAATAGCGCAGGCAGTTTCTACATATAGAGACATGCTTATACTTAGAGTTTGACGGGAATCTAAAGTGATTTTTTTCTGCATCGCGAAATCTAATGCAATCTCAAAATCATGAAGAAACTGCGAATCGGAGCGCAATTTTTTAATATGTTAATATATAAAGGTACCCCTACTACTGCAAATGCTTCAAATGAAAATCTAAGAAATCAGATTAATTTGATCACATTAGTATAGTATTGGTCAAACCAAAAACTCATATGTTGATATATAGCCTATGGATATTCATATTATCTACTTTTCATTGAATTACATAAGATTTAATAATCTCATAAATATTCTTTTTAATTTTCCGAATTCCGTGTGCATTTAGATTGCCCATACCTGTATATAATAATTCTAGAATGGTTTGGTTAGATATTAAGTTTTTTAGATTAATATTTTAACATTTTGATAAAACAAGCATTTGTTCCATTTTAGAATCGCCATTGAACTCTGGTTTGACTAACATGATGTTGTATGATCAAATAAATTCTAACTTCATGAAGTTAGTAAGACTAAGTTGCGTACTGTGGCACTGCGCGCCTCCGTACACCACTTAGCGGTTTTGACACTTTACGAAACCGGTAACGTATATTTTACAACACAACCATAACACCAACTTAACCTTAAATATTTACAAAACCATCTGACACATAAACGACTTCACTAACGACATCACTAACGACTTCACTAACGAATTCCCTACCGTCCTCACTAAATAAAAATAACCTTATTTTTATTTTTTTTAAATTTTTTATTTCATTACAAAGACATGTCTGACTACATTTACTATGACTCTTTCCCAGAACGTTTCCGTGAACTATTCAAAACTCAAGTAAAACTGAGAAACATGCATTTTAACAAAGACAGACCCATTGACGATGAAAGAAACCCTGAATATATTACAATCCCTTATGATGCTAAATTTATTGCATACATTCCTTATGGACGTAGAGGAACGAAAACTATTTCAACAATGACCAAAAATTATTTCTGGAGCGATGAAGAAAATTGCCTTATCTACATAAATGCATACTTAAATAAAGCTACATATTGTACAAAAGAAGGTTGGACTGGATTTGAGCTCTACATATACGACGACGATGGAAACAGACGTTGTGTATACCCATACGATAATATGTACCATTGTTTTCATCAAGCATTAAACGAATACATAGTCAGTAAGGTCTCATTCCTGTTGAGTAGAAATGCTTTATTTTTGTTCTGTCATTTATAAAAAAATAAACTTAAAAATTAATGATATCACCACTCCCACACGTATGAAAACATAGCACAAAAATAAATTTAGGTGAAATCTCACCTCTTTTTTCACCCGGTTTTCACCCTGTTGAATTCATTGCTTTATAACTCTCTTCCTTTCTCCAACTCTTCTAACTTCTTCTTAAGTTCAGCAATGTTGTCCTCATGAAGTTTAATCTTTCTCAAAATTCCTTCTTTATCTAATGGTTGCTTTATCTTTCTAAACTGAACTCTACCATCCTTCATAGTATGAATGTAAAAACCTTCTGGAATAGTTCCTGATTTAATGTATTCTACCAAAAACTTTTGTTTCATTGCTTCAGTGACTTTATTTGTCATTTCAATCAAATAAAAATTTTAATATTAAATAAAAATAACGTTATTTTTTCAGTAAGGAAACGCAGGAGTTTTACGATTTATTTGAGAAGTAGGTTCTGGTTTAAATGTTGGAGTCGGTTTAGGAGTTGACTTTTGAACAGGAGTTTGTACTTCCATAGGTTCAGGAGTCATTGAAGGTTTTGCTTGTGAAGGCGTTGGTTTTGGCGAGGGTGTTGGAGTTTGTTTAACTTCAGCTACTTCAGTATTATTTACAACATTTGCTTTATTTCTTTTCAACATCATAACTGCTCCTGCTGTAGCTAGCAAACCTAGTGGGAGACCATATTTTATATAAGGACTTGACCAAATGCTATTTTTGACAGGAGCTGGTGGAACACCTAACCTTGGTGAGACTGCTCTTTGCCATTGTGCAGCTCGTAAGAAATATTCAATAGGTGCTCCATAATCGTTTGGTAAAGTTTGTTTCATAGATGGTGAAGGTTCACGAGAGCTTGATGAAGAACTCATTTATAAACTTTAAAAATAAACGTTCATCCTTTATTCCTCACTGTCGTCCGTAGCTAAGTTATAGTCATCTAATCTTATTATGGGGATGCCATTAGCACGCACCTGAATGGCAAAGCAACAATCCCTCATAAATCCAATAAGTGGCTTTGGTACATTTTCAGTTGCTAGTTCAATAGGTCCTTTAACAGACAATTTGTATGTTATTGGAGCAGTAGATGTTTGACCTTGCTGGAAGCAAAAGTCCACTTCTGTTGGAAAACCACATAAGAAATGTGTGTTGTCATAGCTATCCCATTTATGTTCCACACTACCATCATCCACCAATGACCTCATAACATCTTCATTAAATCCTATCATATCATTGTTTGTATTGCAAGCGTTCGCAACCATTTCATAAAATACAGGACCATATGATTTTTCAGGTTCTGCAGGCATATTTCCATAAGCTCCCATGGAAAGCTGAAGATATTTAAACTTAGGGTTCTCAAAATTAACATAATAGTTGTCTTTCTTTCTAAATAGTGCCCAAATACTTTTAACATTAATAGGCGTATAAGCTGCTGTAAATGTTGCACTTGAACTATCTGTATTCTTTGAGAATGAACCGTCCATAGGAATCCAATCCATAACTTTAACAGGAAAACATAAAGCCTCGTTTGTATAATGTTCTACAAGTTCTGTATAAATGTTAGGGTCTAAAGAGAATGACTTTGGATGAATAAAACATTCATTAAAATCCATCTTTGTTCGAAATAGTTGCTGGGTTACAGTTGTAATAGTAACTGTTCCACTAGCTTCTACTGCCTTCGTTATCATAGTGAATGGTTCATTCCATGGAACAAATTTATTTGTCGGTGGATTTGAATCTGAAGCAAATGCAACTTTAAGAGTTGGATTGAAAGCAATGATATCATTTACAGATATAGATGTGCATTGTAAGGCGTCGCTACTGAACTTTACTTTAAGCTGAATGTTTCCTGCAAAAGCTGGAATAAATCGAATAGCTTCTAATGGAAGGAATCTTCTAACAGGAATTCTTAAACGAAGCTTAAAATCAAATGATTTTCCTGCTGTAATTGGACCACTAACAATTTGTTCTGTTCTGCATGTTCCCGAATGACTCCATACATCTTCATGTCGAGTCTTTGAGAAAACATCTACTTTCTTTATTTGTTCGGTAGTTTGTGAGTTTGAAGTTATATATGCTTCTTCTCTTGCGTTGTCTTGAGAATATACGATACGACCATTTGCAAGGATTTGATATCCAGCAACTGCATAGAAAGCGTCATCGAAACCAATCCAAAATCCTGGTGGGTTTGTTTTATTGGAACCTGAACCAATTTCTTTATCTACAATAAATTGACCTTCCATTTTATACGTAATGAATGTATTGTAAAGGTCCAACATATTTTCACCAGGAGGTGAGAGATTGAATGTTACCCATGTGTTATCTTTAGCAGTTCCAGGTTGTGATGGAATCTTTGCGTCAGAATATTTTCTATTAGTGTCACCAATTTGAACTGCATTGTCTATGATATCGAAATATGAGCGAATCTGATGAATATGCTCTGCTGGAGTAAATTCGTTTAACTGTTCGTTCTGCATGTATTTACTTCAGATAAAAATATCTATTTACTTCATTATTCTCACTCTTCTTCTTGGCATTCGTGGTGGAAGTTGTTTCTTGACATTTTCAATGAACTGTACATTCTCTTTTGTCTCAACTTCTTTCACTGGCGGGTCAGGGTTCTTTGACTCGGTTTGTTTTTCAATGAAATTCACGAACTTTGCAATAAGCTCTTGGTTCGTTATTGAAAGTACATCTGGCTTCTTTTCTTCTGGTTCTATTGGTGGCTCAGTTTGAACAGAAGGTTTTATATGGGCTTCGTGGACTTCACCCTTGCCATACACCTTAATGTTGTCGCTTTCTGCATTCGTTAATGAAACCTTTCTTTTTCTTACGTATATTTTACCATCTTTACTCTGACTTACGTAATAGAAAGGATGTTGTATTCCTCTTGCGTCATTTAATATAATAGACTCTCGCTCTGATTTTGACAAGCTCATTTTACATCGGTTAAAGTTTTAATTTTGTTTTTTATCTGCAGTCAAATGACTCAGACAAGCCCTACGGACAAGACCCAAGGGGTCATAGATGTTGAAACATTGAAGAAAGAAATTCGTGAGCAAATTTTATCCGAACTGAAGGAACAAAAACAAGAACAAAAGCCAGAGAGACCAAAGAGAAAACTTAGTGAAAAACAACTTGCTGCATTAGCTGCTGGAAGACAGAAGAACCCACGTTTGCTGGCGAAGAAAGCTAGAGAAGAAGCTGAAGCAAAAGCTAAAGAAGCTGAAGCAAAAGCTAAAGAAGCTGAAGCAAAGAAAGAGTAAATGGTTTATTTTTATCCGAATTAAATGTATAGACAAATACCTTTATCTGTTGCGTTCAGTAGTGAAAACCCTGACGTCAAAATAAAGGGGAACAGAGTAACGTTTAAGTTTCCAACAGACTGGATTGTGAACATAAATGAAGAGAAGTACATTGGCATAACATCTATGTATATAACACGTGCTTTCAGAAAGGTTGATTTATACTTCAAGTCGAGATAGAAAATGACGAACAGTCTTTAAGCGCCCAAAACATTCACATATACAAATACTTTAAAGACGATACAACATTGCAACAATGTATGATTTCATTTAATGAAATGTTCGAGAAAAAGTTTAACATTGAAGTACAAACTTTACAGCCTTTACGTGAGTTTCTTGCACAACTGAAAGAAGAAGGTAGTCAGCCACAACTTATAGACTTTCATTATGAATTTAATGAAAATGAAGATGGAACTCATGACTGTCAGTTTGTTGTATTCTCACCATTCAATGAAGTCGCTAAAGAGAAAGAAAATCCATTACGTATAAGATTTCAAATCTCTGAACCAAGTGATGATTTCAAGAATGTTTTCAATTATGATGCAATGCTTCCGAGGAAAAATGAATTTTCAAAGATTGTAACACCTGGCATTTGGATAGAAAGCAAGCTATATTATATTCAAACTTAAGTAAGGGAGTTGAAAATGAGTTCATTGGTCATACAAGAACTACACCACTGCCAAATCCTAAATACTATAAATTAACTGGCTTCAATCGTGAGTTTTGGATAGACATGTTCTCCACTCATGACCATAACTGCCCAGTGTTCTTACCTCCAGACCATAAGGACTGTCTCTACATTGAAGCACAACTCTTAAACTCTACCATCGCAGTATTGTAAATGACCACATGGGCTTCGCCCTTGCCGCTAGCGGCTTATTTTTATCACGAATGACCTCATTGCTGACAAAAATAAATGACCTCAGAACTTCAACTTACGAATAAAGCTTGTTTTAGTCGTTATTGAGAAGTTAAACTTTTCAGCAAAGCAAGGACTAGAAGACTTACATAAGTCAAATCCAATCTCTTGACCATCATGAAGTGCTTTGTAAAGTTTCATTAAACTGAACTCAGAGTCTTTGTCATATGTTCCTTGCGGAACCATTAAACCTTTATCTTCATCATAGAAACACTGAACAGAGTCAGGAAACATTTCATTAGCGGTTAAAGCAATAACATCTTGCTTCACGCCTTTCATTCTGCAGTGAAATGCAACTTCATTTAAATCATTCGTGAGTAAGTCTATGTAAGTCTTCTTTCCACAAAATATTGACTTGTATGCTAAACTTTGTTTATCTTTTGTGATTTCTGCAAAGTCGCTATGAAATTGACCAAGGTTTTTACCAATGAGAACTCTTCCATAACGTTTCTCAAACTCTTCAGCTAAACGAGGGATATCTTCATTGTAGAGATGCATACTGTCCGTATCGCTATAAAAGATGTCCATTCCTAAGTCCTCAGCAGTACAGAATACTTCACACATTATTCTCTTCGACATAGACAGAATGTTAACACCAAGTGGACAGAAGTTAAAGTGTCTGCAAATGCTTTTCGTTAGCTTGAAAATAGTTTTATCTGAACCATCCAAACCTTCGAACTTCACTATATGGTTGTAGTTTCTGATGGCATATCTTATAGCATCTTTGTCATTTACTATGGTTATTTTTGACTCAATAGGAGATAGAATAGTTTTGCCATAAATACTGTTCAGAATGAGCTTTATATTTTCTTGCAAAGGATTTCCTTCTTTCTTATACTTTAACCTTAACTCAAACAACTTCTTTACTTCATCTCTTATTCTAATATCTCTGTTTCCATCGTAATAGTATCCTTGCAACACTTCACATTTGACACCTTGATATTTTATGAGGTCTTGTAATGTTATATGGTCAACATACATTAAACAGCAAGTGTTTGAACTTCTGGGAACGTTAAGTTCTGGATTTAGTTCAGGGTCACAAACTATTAAAGGAAAGTGTCTATGTATTCCAATCTCTGTTATCTTAATGAGAACAAAGAAGCCAGACATAAACTTTTCACCAATGGGTTCCTTTTGGTCGTCATCGAATAAATGTCTCATGAGATACTCTGTGCTTAACATTTCTTTCTTCATAACCTTTGGAATACATTCTAAAGTATAAAGTCTTGCTATAGCGGATGGATATAATGAAACAGCGTCGAAGTCAGCAATGAGTTTCTTTTCGCTCTTTTGTTTAATGTTATCTGACAGCATACATCTTCCACCTTGAATACAGCGTGAAATAAATTCTCTTGGTTTATTTGAGAGGTCATATAAATTTCCATTCGGGAAGTACACTCTGTTCTCAAACAATTTGTTAGCGATTGAACAAATGCTAACGTAGTCATAAACGTTTAAATCAAATTCTTTCAATATGTCATTGCGGAACTTAACAAAACCTTCTCTTAAAATTCTTACATCTTGTTTGCAATAAAATGTGCTATACTTTTCTAAGTCGAAGTGGTTCTCATCTATTCTGCAACCTTTGATGGAATCTATGTTTTTCATGAATGTATCTGCATCCCGGATAAACTTACATGCTTCAGAAATGACACCAGTTCTGTTGTCATTTGCTAACAAAGTACTGCTGTAGTAGTTGTATGGAAATACTTCTTTCGGTCCTGTTTGTAAGTTAAACATAGCAGGAAATAGTTTAAGCTTCTTATTTATAACACTGTAAGAGTCTTTTATAATAATTGCCCTTCCTTTATATAAGCCAGTTATTTGCATTGTTCGTGAACCTTTAATGATGGGAGTTCCTTTCACTTCTGTCATGTGTCTTAAGATGAAGTTTATATCATAACTGAGGTTATGGAAATATATTAAACTCTTGTCAGGAAGTCGTTCCAAAAATTCTGTTGCACAGTTCTGACCCCAAATGCTTTCACTCACTGAACCATCTTCACTGTCATAACAAATGTTAAAGGCTTTATGAAAGCCGTCTGTGCTACACTCAAAGTCAGCAAAGAAAACATGCTCAGGAATGAACTTACATTTAGCTTTATTTACTTCTTTTGACTCGGCTTTCTTCTTCAGTTGTACACAATACTTTGGAGCATATGTCAAATCTTTAAATGGTGCAAGGTTCTGTTTATATAAGTCAGTCGTATATGTGAAAAGTTCTCCATAAGAAATAGGTTCGAAATATTTGCACTCCCACAATGTTTTCATAACATCCCATAACGGTGTTGTTCTATCATAACGAACTACATATTTATCTTCTCTCTTTGTATAAATCTTCATTTGTTTCTCAATGTTCATTCCACCACACTCCTCCAAGATTTCTATATAGTTGCGAATGAAATATGTTGTCATTGGTAATCTTTCATTTAGCATGTAGTGGTCTTCAACAAGAAGTAAGTCAATAGTTCTAACAGTTTCACATTCTTTTGGTATGTATCTCTTTATTTCATTATGTCTTGAGTCATTGAAATAACCAATGGTAACATTAAATGCTATACCTGTTGCGTCAGAAATTTCTTGTACTTTACTTTGAGGAAAGTCTCTAACACGAATGACTTCTCTCATGTGGTCAATAGTCTCTCCATCTACTCCAGCCTGAATGCAAGCATAAACGAAACAATTGTCTTCTGTCATAAGTGCTGCAGTTCTTTTGTTCAATTCATTGAAAATTTGGTAGCGTTCAAGATTTATAGGTAATGTGCAAAGATACTTCCAGAACTGACCGCTTCTCTTCTTATAAAACTTCTTTTCACCATTATCTTTCCAAAAGCTTTCTATAAGTGCTGGGTTTCCTGTTTGCTTAAGAGCTTCCAAAATTGCTTTCTGGTCATTTGTCAGTGTGCTTTCATCTCTATATGGTCTCTTTTTTGGTTTGCCTTTCTTTACATCTGACATCGTTAAGCCTTCATATTCTGTTAAATCATACATCTTTATTTCGGTAAGATTCTTTATGTTTGTCAAGAAGAAGTCATAGTGCATTTCAACAATACCTGCAGCATTTGCTTCTATCTCTGATATAAAGTTCTCCTTCAAGAGCTGATGTAGTAATGTTCCAATATTATTGAGGTTTAACGTAGAACATTCATACTTTCCACCAAGTTTATAACATACCATCCATCTCTGTTGTGAGTTTATTTTAATTTTCTCTAAGAGTCTCATGAAAATCTTACCGAAATGTTTGTGTAAGTAGTCTCTGTTTGGTTCATCTAAAGCTTCGATGTTAAAGTCAATGAATCTATTGCCTGACTTCACATTTCTCTTCCTATTCTCTTCATCTTTCTTTAACCATCTCTCACCTTCTTTTGGTTTGTCGTCAATGGAACGAATGACATCGTTAGCTTTGCGAACTTGTTCTATAGCACTTTTAAACATCTCTCTTCTCTGTTGTTTCAGTGTGTTGTCTCTCTTTCGTGTTTTACCAACGTTTGCATTTGTTATGTCATACATTTCTCTTCTTACTTCATGTGGTACTGAACGTCTATGATATAAGTCAATAGCAATGTCATTTAAAGGAAATGCTCTTGCATGGACTTCGTCCTCGCCGCGTTGCGGCTTTATGAACTCATGAATTCTATCATAACTTATTGCACCATTATAGTCTTTAATGAAGTCAGCGAGTGCTTTTTTGTTTGTTGCGTAATGTTTTGCTACTTCTATGTTAGCTTCTGTTAGAAGTTGTTTTATTTCCGAGTGTTCTAACTTAGACAACTTCCGATACATCTTTAGTAGGAAATAAAAAAAATATTTTTTGAAAAAATTAGATTAGATTTTTTAAAGTTATTTTTCAAAATAATTTAATATTTTTATTTTAATGAAACACATGCAAGATTGCAAGTTCTTTTCATACAATGCTCTCGCTACTGCCATCAAGAATGAGTTCAATAATGCTTCAAATGTTAATGTTATCTTTAACAAGAAGTTTGTGAAAGAATCTAAGTTTGGTCAGTATGTCAGACCATTAGCTATCGTCATTGACCGCAAACGTTATACTTCACAAGAGTTAGCAGTAGTTTTGAAACAAAAGAGTTTCTTCGTGAATGTCAAAGATACTCATTATACTGTCATAAAGAACTCTAACATTGACTTCTTCAGTATTGCTTTAAATCTTTCCGAACAGAAAGAATATAAGAAGGGTGAAACAAATGTGAAATATTATCCTTCATCTCTGAAGACAATAACGAACAAAGATGTTATACAGAAATTCTTACCAAAGGTTGAAGAAGCTTCTATTGACATTGACGAAGGAAGTGAAATGGTTGAAGAAATAGACCCTGAAGCTATTTAAGCAAAAATATATTTTTGGTTAGTCTTCATATCGATATTTTACAACAATTCCCCAATGTATAAACTTTTCATACGCTTTTTCATAAGCTTTATATACCTTCAGAAATTTTGCATAATCTTTAGAAGCATTTAGATATTGTTTAAATGCTTTGTATGTCTTCAGAAATTTTGCATAATCTTTTACATGTTGTTCGTTCTCTTCTTCTGTCATGAGTTCCGAATATTCTAAATTCATGTTCTTTCATATGAGATAAAATTTTATAAAAAAATAAAATTAGCTTAGATTTTTTTTATTCTTCCTCTTTGAAGTTATCGAAATATTCTGTTATTTTTTCCTTCAGTAATGTTAAGTCTTCTTTGAATGTAAGTATTGTGCAACCTTTGATGTCATAGTGTGTTTGAGGAAGAGTATTTTTGACAATTTCCTTTATTTGCTCATTCGGTGTCATTGAAATCGGTAAGTTTTCACGATAGAACCAGTTTCTGTCAGATTTATATATTTTAGCTAAGTCATAAAAGCTCTTGTTGTTTCTTCTGACTAAATGCAACATAACCACATCTTTATCTTCTTCTTTCTCCAACTCTTCAGTATATATCATATACTTATAACTCTTTTCCTTTCCTTTTGGTACCGAACGCGGTATTCTTTTCTGTATGCTTTTGTCTTTGGATTCAATGACTTCATCTTTTGCTTGAAGTTTCTTTTCCATCTCTCCACGTTCTGCTTTATATAGTTCATCTAACATCATGAAAATATAACAAGCATAACGAGGTGAAGCCCACATTGCTACAGCGTTTACTAAAAGTCTATGAACATAATAACCTTTCAAACCAGGAGCCAAATTCTTGCGATTTTCATACGGAATCTCTTCTCTCGGTTTTCCGAGGGAAGCAATCATATGAGGAAATTCTTCTAAAAGTTCTTTTGTCTGTTGGTTTTCAAACCAATGATATGCTTGCTTTGTAGAACGAAGAGCGTTCATTATACTTTGCATTTGGTACATGTCATCTTTGACCGAACGAATGAGGCGAAGTTGTTTGTTATATTGTATGTATTCGTATTCTTCATTTATAGCTTCATGGACTATAACTGTTGTTGTGTTCTCTGATGTTGTCATTACTGTCTTTACATACAAAATAAAAAAAATAAATAAAAATAAAACTAACTTTATTTTCTGACTTTCACAAAAGACCAAAAATAAACGCTTTACATGTATTTTTCAGCAACTTCGTCAAATAATTTTATAGCTTTATCTATCTCATCTACTTCAAACGTTTCTTTACCTTTCGTGGGAGCACCATACATTTTCTCAAAAACTTCAAGCAGTTCTGTTTCAGCAGCTCTCATATCATTAACAAACACAACCTTGACTCTATTGACTGTACTGTCATATCTTTGAGTTATATTATATGTCCTTCCTATCTTATATCTTTTTGTGTTGAAGTCCTTCGGTTTCTGAACGATGTAAAGTAAGCCTTCACTGCAACGTTCCGTATCGAATGAACCATATGTTATGAAGTTATATCCAACAACTGGGTCTAACCACTTTGGTGTCATTGTCTATCTTTCTAACTGTTTCAAACTCAATGTTTGACATTACTGTCTTTACATACAAAATAACTAATGAAATTCATTATTTTGTGCTGAATTCAATAAAAATAATGTTGAGGTGAAGAGGTGAGATCTCACCTGTTTTTTCACCTCTTTTTTCACAAGCGTTTTACATGAATTGTACGATGTATATTTGAAATCCTAAACAATTTCGTAGCTTCTATTTCTTCTTTTAGTACATCGAATGTTTTAACAATGCCGAAAGTTTCTTTATATTTCTTCTTGACGTCAGACAGAAGGAAATCTTCTGCTGTTGGATAGTTTTTATTAAGAAATGTCAACATATCCATTTTATCTTCTGCTGGCTTTTCTGCTTCTTTCTTTAAGTCTGCATAGTCGTTTCGCATTCTTTCTATCTCTTTGACTGAGTAGTTATATTTTCTTATTGCTGCTTTACATTTTGAACATCGCGGCATCGTTTTTGCGTTATACATTGAAATAAAACCAGCTAGAACAACTAAGGCGTCAATGGTTTTCTTTAACTCAAAAGCTGCTGGTTTTATCTGTTCATTCCATACCTTACCTCTTCTATCTTTATCTCTTATCTGCCATACACATTTTGCAACTAATGAAACAAAGTTATCGTATGTCTTAAATTCTTCGGATTTGTAAAGGTCAGAAATTTTTTATAAACCATGTCGCAATCTTTGTCCATAACTTTATGGTTGCAATGAAAACCAAAGAATTCATAATTTACTTTACGTATGAATTTCTTAATTTCTACTGAGTCAGTTGCTTTGACTTCAATTTCGTCGAATTCAGGAATAGTTAGTTTTTGCTGCTGAATTTCAGGTAGTTTAGGCAAATGGTCGATGAGGTCTCTCATTTCATAAAGATACTGTTCATTTGTTTCATCTTTCGCACTACAGTCTAAATTACTTGTTAAAAGTTCTTGCTTTATCTTCTGGATTTCTGTTTCAAAAGTATATGAAGAAGGAATAAAGCTTTTCATCTCTACCAACATTGACGTAGGATTCATGACTAGCGAGTTTGGTGCTGTAGTTGTGGACAGAGTCCGCCGTTCGTGGCTTGAATTGTTGTTGTGCCGATTGTTGAAATCATATCTTTTATACAAAATAAAAAAATAAATAAAAAATAAAACTAACTTTATTTTTCTATCTTAAGGAAATTCATGAAAATTCACGAGAAAGCTAAAGCAATCTGAGCCGCTAAGCGGCGAGGGTGAAAAAAGAGGTGAAAAAAACGGGTGAGATCTCACCTCTTCACCTAAAATATATTTTTGGTGTAAATTTATGACAAAAATAAATGGTACCATTAATGATATCATGATTGTTCTCATTCATGTCTGATTTACATCTAATGAAAAAGTTTAGAAGAATTTTCTTATTCTTTCTGGCTTATTTTGTCTTTCCAGTACTCCCGCTCTAATGGTCCCAGATGTGTTGGCTTTGACTCTCTCAAGTTCTTAGATGGTATAACATCTTCAACGCCTCCTTCATATCTTACTTTATAAGTGCCATCGTTTATGTTATAGCCAAGTATTTCAATAACCACTCCTCGCTTTGCTTCGTCAATGGTTTCAGCAAGTTTGCCATTACTACTTTCAACTAATTTATGTCGAGGGTAAAACGCAATAGAGTCGTCAGCAGCTTTTATAAGATATCCATTACACTGCGTAGAGTCTACGATATAATAGTTTCTACTTAACCTTAAACGTTTCTTTGTCAACGGTTTGTCGTCAAGAACTACACGAACTTTTGTACCAGGAATGAGGGTAAATTGTGTTGAATTTCTGATATTTTGTGTTTGGCTTCGTTTCTTTTGTATATACTTTTCTTCTTGTTGTTGTGTCATTGAATTTGGTGTATGTCCTGTTGTAGAATGTGTTGAGGAATTATATACTTCGAGAAAATGTTTTATTGTTTCTTCGGTAAAGTCTCGCTCTTGGTTTAAATCTCTGAGCGTTCTTATGAAGCGGTTTATGATGCCGAATATGTTATGGTTATGGTCTTCAGTAGTGTAGTGAGTTATGTTATGCTTAATGAGAAAATCTGTGATTTCATTGCTGAGGTATGCACTGTCTTGGTCTGATGTTAAAGTACTTGGGCTATGTTCTGCTACAAACTTTTGTAAAACTCTTAACACTTCACGAGTTCCTTTATTCCTCATTGGATATGCATATGTTTTACGAGTGTTAACATTAATGAAGATGAGGAATGGTTTATGTCCTCCTTTTCTGCTTTGAATGAGAGTGTCAAATTGGTATGCGTCAGGAGTGTTGGAGTAAATTGGTAAAAAGTAGTCGTAAGGGTTTATTTTTGTTTGATGTACAACATTTTTGTTATTGAATGTGAATGATTACCTGTTGTGTTTGTAGTTCTTGTATGAGTGTGCGGTGGAAGGTTTGCTTCTTTAATTTTCTTCGAACCTCCTGTTTGCTTTGAAGAGTTAGCACAGTATAAGAATTATCTACAATCTGCTTCACGTACCAAAACCTAAAACTGTTTCTGGATTTGTTGAGTTCATTGACGTATAAATAGAGCCTATAGGATATAATGTTTGAAGTATTTCAGTCTTTTAATGTTTGAAGCTCTGTTTGTCTGCTTTCTTATCTAACATTGCTGGTAGTTCATATGCTTCAAAGTTTCTGGCATGACCTTCGATATTCCTGCAACTGTTATCTAAATTGTTAAGAGTATCTTTTACGCTTGTACTCGGATTCTTAAAGGTGCACTTGAACCAAATCATAGTTCAATATTATGTCGTCTGCTCTAACAGTAGTGAAGGATTTATGTGTATGTTCTTTGTCAGCTTTCTTATCTAACATTGCTGGTAGTTCATGTTTTCAAAGTTTCTGGCATGACCTTCAATGTTCATACATCTGTTATCTAAATTGTTTAGTGTATCTTTACGCTTGTACTTGGATTCTCTAAAGGTGCACTTGAACCAAGGGTATAGTTCAATATTATGTCGTCTGCTCTAACAGTAGTGAAGGATTCATGTGTATGGTTCTTGTCGGCTTTACTGTCTAATGTAGCTTGAAGTTCATTTATATCGGAGATGTTGTGTTTATGAGATTTCAAAACTTTGTTCATTGCTTCAAGTTCATCTTTGTCAGCTTTACTTTTAATAGCATCTTCAAACGTTATTTTTGACTTAACTCTCAAAGTAAATCTTGGTTCAACTAATACACCATTAACAGAGAAAGTAGAGGCATAAATTTCATCGTTATAACTAAATGCTTCTAGCGCTTTACCCGTGTCATAATGTACAGTACAGCTTATGTCATAACCTTTAGCACGAATGTATTTATATCTTCTTTCATTAACATCTTCAGTGCTTATTTGTTCATCCTGTGTTAAATATCCATGGTAGTCCGTTATAATCTGTTCGTCTGAAGTTATATAATGAACGTGGTTCTTGACTTTATCACTCAGAGCTAAAAGCTCATTTTTGGCTGCTTTTTCGGCTAATTTCTCATTAACATCATTCACTTCTAATTCAACTCTTCCGCCAGAACTCTTATTATCATTAATCTTTTTCATTAATTCAGTAATTACGTCATAAAGACTATATTCTGTTTTCGGTTCTGTAAATAATGAGTCAAAATTTCTTTTCATCATTACATCGCTGACATTAATGATATCACCAATTCCTTTTTCATTTATTCTCTTCATTAATTCTGCAATAATGACGAATATATAATCTGTTAATTTATTCTCTTCATCGAGGGTTATAGAATGTTTTGAAATTGAATCATTAACTCCTCTAAATAAATCAATAACTTCAGATACACGTTTTTAATGTCTCGAATAACCCGACCAGTATCCTGTTGTTCATGTTCTTCGTTCCCGTCGTTACGTAGTTTTATATCTCTAACCATCATCAACGCAGCCATAACCGGAGGGTTTGTTGCTATCTGTTCGAAAATCCGTCCGTTATGTACGGTATATCTAAATAAATTTCTTTGTGTTTGTTAAAACATTTGAAACAAGTCTTTTTAAAACCATCTACAAAATTTCCTGTTTCACCTAATGTTCTTGCAGCATTTACAAGCTCACCCATTCCCGCTTTTGACCCCAAAAACGTCCATATTGCATTTATTTCACTCTGTATAGTTGTCCATTCAGCGAAACTAACACCCGCATTCGCTAAGCTGAAAATGAAATTCAGTGGATCGAACTTAATTCCACCTTCTTTTTCAATTTCAACGAACTCACTAACATGAGATTTTAAGTATTCTTTCGTTAAAATTGTTTTCCCCGATGTTATGTCATTAACGAAACTATCACCGTCAAAAGTTAACGAATTCAATTTCGTCGTTGATGCTTTTATTTCATACACCGCTTTATCAATAGTTTTTGGCTCACCTTCTTTAGAAGCATATGAAACATTAATGAATGAATTATATGTATTCGTGAATGAATTAAAATCAATGATTTTCATTAATGACGCCTTTAATGATTCATTTACTGTCGAATCCCTTAAAGTAATTAATGAACTGTCATTTATGAAAGGTACACTGCAAACCGTCGAGTTTGGATCAAATGCTGTAGTTGGTGCAGAAATATATTAATGATATAAGTCATTAAATCATTAAGTGACGTAAATAATGTTGTCGTTTTTGATTTAATTTCTTTAGCATCTGTTATATATGGTAATTTTATTTCTGTAGTTTCTGAATTAAAGATATTCGCTAAAATGTTTTGTAAACTGTTTTGAACAGCTGTGTAAACCGTTGAATCCGGAACTCTTACGATTTCACCGTCCTTAATAAAAGGCATTGCACATGGTGTAGTGCTTGGGTCAAATCTTTTTGGGTTATGATTCAACATATATTCTAATGCTTCATAAACAGACCTATATACGGTTGTATTATCTTTTTCAATAATTTCACCGTCCTTTATAAACGGCATAGTACATGGAGTTAAAATAGGGTCAAACTTTTCATAGTCCTTCCATGTTATGTATTTCTCAGTATTTCCATCAGTGATAACAATATATTTGTCAGTAAGTGTGAGAGAGTATTGACCAAAATATAAACGTTTAGCTCTGTCAGCTTCATACGCATATGCAGCTATACTCATATTTTAATGAGAATAAAATGTTGTTCTATTTGCAAAGTACAGACCCAAACGAATACGGGACAGTAAAGCTACAAACAAACTTAGGTCTACAGAATGAGGCGCTTGCATTCAGAATGGTTGACTTCAATACTATCGCTTCATTCGTTATAACAGATGAAACAGATTTCATGGAGATTGAAATAGATGGAAAGAAGCACGAAATAAGATTTCACAATAATGTAGAATATAAGATGGAAACATTAGCTGGAGTGTTAAATGCTCTCATAAATACTACAATAAACAAGGATAACGAAGAAAACTTAATGAATGTTAAACTTATTGCAGGAGTTTTGAAGTTCAGTTATGCGAAGGAGTTTAAGATACCAAGAATGAGTCATAGAGTACAACTTCTTTTGGGTGCATACCATATGACATTTCCTTTGAAAAGTGTTGACAAAACGATTGAGATGAAATCTGTTCCATATGTATGTTATGGTAATTGTTTATACATTGAGTCTAAAATAGCTAATGTCACAGGCATTTCAGGAGTTAATAGTAAAGGTTCAGTAGAATATAAATCCTTCTGTTATGAAGTAAATTCAATGTTCATTCCAAACGTTCCTGTCATAGCAACTCATTTAGGTAAATGGGTTCGCATTAGTTCTCATAATTTGAAAGACATGCAATTCAGACTTGTTGACTTTCAAGGAGAGCCTGTAGAACTGAAGGCACCAGTGCGAATGACTGTTGAAGTTGACTTTTTAGAAAATATTAAATGCAACAGCTTACAAGAGAACTCAGAGCTAAAAATATAAAGTATGAATGTTATGTATTAGGTCATGAACTTTGGTTGTTGCTGTTTGATGAAACAAATGAGTTAGTTATGTCAGTCAAGAGAACAGAAAAATATTGTGTTAGTGAAAACTGCACCAAGTCAATAAGATTAGGTTTGCATTATGAAGATGAGTTCGATACTGTTGAAGAAGTTTTGGATAGATATTACAAATTGCTAACTTGAAAATTTTTTGACTGACGGCGCAAAGCGCCAAGATGGGCTCAAAGAGCCCTCCTGACTGCTTTAATTTACTAAAACATATTTCAAACAAAGCTTATATTCTGTTGAAAGTTTTGTATATTCATTCGAATATTTATACTTAAACTCAACTCCTGTAGTTCCTGGTGTTTCAATGATGCGGATGTTACCTATTTTCATGAATAGTGGAGTTTGACCACAGCATTCGATTTCAGGGTCGAGATAGTCAATGACACATTGTTTCCCTGTTATTCGTGAGATAACATTTTCAAGGCCCTCCTTTGTTAGAATTATTTGGTTCTTACTTATAAGATTTGTCAAAAGCTTCTTATCGTCTTTGAGTAAAATTGTTTGGTATAACTGAAGAAGGTAATGGTCTACGTTATCTGAAGGATTTGTTTGAACATTTGTGTAAGGATTGTCGTTGGCTTCTCTTGAAAGAATTTGGTCCAGTGGTGGATACTCTAACTTAACATCTGATGTAGCGTTAGCGTTTGAAGCTGAGTTTAAATTCACGGCGCCATGCTCCAAGACCGAAGGTCCCGACTTAAGTTCTGGTTCTTTTTCTTTCAAACACTCTGAACTATAGTTCTTTATGACAATATTGTTTGTCGTTCGTGAGTCAACATTTGATGTTGGTTCAATTGGAACATTAACGGCACCAGCTAAGATGGATTTGCTTCTCATTTCATATAGAATAAAAACCTTTTATATGTATGAAATGAACAATATACTCGACAAGGGTTTGAATGTAAAGCTAACGAATGAAAATATTGTTGAATTCACTGAGACAGGAGCTGTGTATAAAGATGTAGAACTACTGAACAAAAGAGCTAAGGGAAGAAGCAGGAACATGAACAAAGGGTGGAAGCCTATAAAAATTTATGTCAATGATGGCTCAGGAGGTTCAAACATAAAGTATGCAGAAAGTTATAGAGTTTATGCTCTCAAAGGTGAAAAGCCTTCATTTAAGAACAGCTATTCTAACGCATATCCTCAAAAGCTAACGGATGGGGAAGTGGATGATATGAATGACAGCAAAAATATTAACAGAAATGGCGACAGAGATGCATGGAATTTGTTTACCATCAGTCAATTGAAGGTTAAACTTTAAAACAATGTTGGTCGTTCCCATGGAATATTTTTGACTTTAATGGTATTAGTCATGATATGAATCTCAAGGTATGAACGAGGAGAGATGAGAGACTTATATGCTTCCCAAATTTCTTCAAAAGGTAATGTTATACCTGACTGTTTCCAAATGAGTTCAATGTCATAGCGTGAGAAACCCTGAAAGATAACGAAGTCAGTTATGAGACGTTTTATGTTTAAAGCTAAAAACCTCCATGTTTGCATAAGTATTGCTACAGTTAAATGGTAATGTCTGACTTTAGTAATGATGTTAGCTAATGGTGAGTCAGGCTTTGAAACTAAAACCTTTCCAGCGAAGTCGTCACAAACTAATAAAGTGTTTGATGGATATTTTTTGAAGGGGTATTTTGAAAGTTTTGACAGAATGTAGTTTGTAAGTCGTTTCATATCGTAAACTCCTGAGTATTGACGTAAGTGGTGTTTGTCAATAATTCTTTCCATCTCCTCAGAAGTCTTTTGCATTCCTGACTGTATAAATTCAACGATGGCATAATATTTCCTCTTACGTCGAATGTAACGTTGAAGAAATTCAATGAGTTCACTGTCTGGAACTTTAACGACAGAGGCTTGAACTTTTGACATAAATGTTTTCGCTGTTGAATCCATAGAGTCTGAAGTTGCTGATATAATGATTTGGTCATAGTAAGAGTCGTTTCCTAAACGCTCTGTTATGAGTATATGACGAATGAGGTTAAATGTCTTACCTGAACCCATCTTTCCACAATAGAAATACACACCATTTGAACAGAATCATAATCTTTGCTGAAAGGAAGAATAAGAGAAGTTAAGTTTGTCTGTTTCATTCATGTCTTCATCTACGTCATGTATTAAATGCTTCATTTTATCTCCATTAAAAATGCAAGTCAGAAATATTCAGAACATAGCACCGAGTCTAACTGACAAGAGTATAAAGATATACTATGAACATGTTATGATGAAACCAACCAAAATTCAAGAAAGTCAGTATACTTATGAATATCCAAGACACTGGGTAGAGTATGTAGGAGGTGAGAAAGCTATTGAAATCAGACAGGTTCGAAGTATTCCAGCAGGAAGAACAATATTATTGAAGAACTTTAATGTTTTGAGATATAATGATGAAACAAAGAAGCAAGATAGTTTCCTGTTGCTGTGTATGTGAACCTAGACACAGGAGATGACATGAAAGTTTTTAACAAAGCTTCAAACGGTAGTGAGAGAACAACTGACTGCGGAAGGACATCCATTACCTTCAGAAGTTACCATAGCATATAATTTTGAAACAAACTCAATAGATTTTAAAGCAATCTCTGCAAAGAAGTCAGGTTTTACATTTAATGAAGCAGATGTATATTCGAATGAAAACTTCAAAGCTATTGCATGGTTAGATAATGACGATTGCTTTAAGAAAATATTTAAATTCAGTGACTCAACGATGTCAATAGATGACCTTCGTGGAATGTTACCATCGACGTTTACAGTAGAAGGTTCAGCAGGATTGCTTACAAGATTGTCAATTGGTGGTATTTGGTCTCGTGAAAACATTGTTATAAAATCCAGTATAAGTGAATTTGCTGAAGAATCTATATTATGTCTTTCAAACTATATGTATTCGCCGCCGAAGCATTATAGTATAACAAACTTTGTCAGTAAGTTTAACATAAGACTTGTTGAACCTTCTTCAATGAAAGATGTTGTGCTACCCAAAGACGGAAAGGATGGACTCATTATTGAGATGATTTTAATAGCATATTAAATGAGTTTGTTTTTGAAGGTCATTCATGATGAAATAACTGTTGTAGAAGATGTTAGCAATTGTTCAGACATTTTGAAGCGTATAGATGATATAAGAAAGAAGTTAGATAGACCGCAAAGCGGTGAGGGCGAAGCCCGTGAGAACGCTTATGTTTCATTGACTTTCTCCAGTAACGAGAACTTTTATGAGATAATATTGAAGAGAGATGATTTTAATATGGTGTAAATGGTAGCTTGGGCAGCTTTAGGCGCAATGGGAACAAAAGCATTAGCATTTGGAGCAAAAGCACTTGGAGCTTATGACGCAGTAAATAAAATGAGTGGAGGAAGGGTTTCGAAGACATTAGATGCAAATAAAGGGAAGATTGGAGGCTGGGTTGCAAAGAAGTTAAGATTAAATAAAATAGGGCTCATAAATAAAGCATCCAATTTGGTTGCGACTGAGTCAGAAAATGCTTTAGGAACGGACGATGAGTTTGCAAAACACGCAAAAGACTTTAATGACCAGATGAAAGGTGAAACAATGCATTTAAATAGATTCGATGGAACTAAAGAAAATGTTTCTTCTCCACCAGCGGTTTATCCATACGGACCTTATGGAATGTATGGAAACCCTTATGAACGACCATTTGACCCATTGACTGGTGGAAGTAATTGGTATCATTATGGACGAAGAAGAAAGACAGTCAAGTTGGAGACAGACGTGAAGAAAGCAACTAAAAAGAAACCAAGGAAGAGAGTTATAAAGCAATGAATTCAACAGGGTGAAAACCGGGTGAAAAAAGAGGTGAGATTTCACCTAAATTTATTTTTGTGCTATGTTTTCATACGTGTGGGAGTGGTGATATCATTAATTTTTAAGTTTATTTTTTTATAAATGACAGAACAAAAATAAAGCATTTCTACTCAACAGGAATGAGACCTTACTGACTATGTATTCGTTTAATGCTTGATGAAAACAATGGTACACATTATCGTATGGGTATACACAACGTCTGTTTCCATCGTCGTCGTATATGTAGAGCTCAAATCCAGTCCAACCTTCTTTTGTACAATATGTAGCTTTATTTAAGTATGCATTTATGTAGATAAGGCAATTTTCTTCATCGCTCCAGAAATAATTTTTGGTCATTGTTGAAATAGTTTTCGTTCCTCTACGTCCATAAGGAATGTATGCAATAAATTTAGCATCATAAGGGATTGTAATATATTCAGGGTTTCTTTCATCGTCAATGGGTCTGTCTTTGTTAAAATGCATGTTTCTCAGTTTTACTTGAGTTTTGAATAGTTCACGGAAACGTTCTGGGAAAGAGTCATAGTAAATGTAGTCAGACATGTCTTTGTAATGAAATAAAAAATTTAAAAAAAATAAAAATAAGGTTATTTTTATTTAGTGAGGACGGTAGGGAATTCGTTAGTGAAGTCGTTAGTGAAGTCATTAGTGAAGTCGTTTATGTGTCAGATGGTTTTGTAAATATTTAAGGTTAAGTTGGTGTTATGGTTGTGTTGTAAAATATACGTTACCGGTTTCGTAAAGTGTCAAAACCGCTAAGTGGTGTACGGAGGCGCGCAGTGCCACAGTACACAACTTAGAGATACTAACTCATGAGATAAATTTTGAAATTAGAAAATGCGATATCTGACTCAAATATTTATATGAACACATTTAACATTCAATGATAAACTAAAGTACTATACAGCAGATTCGATTTGGCTTATATTTTATATAATCAACTAATAATCCTATAAAATTGTGCTATTCACGTTGCTCAAAGATGTATTGAACATTCACTACTTGTGTATTGATAAAATTAGATATAGATTCTAATGTAAATCGATATTTTGAAAATTCATATATATTTTGTCTTGGTTTGGCATTTGATCGTGTTGAAACCGGAATTGCAATATATATCATCTAAATATATAACTATCAAAATATGAGCTATAGATTTTTAAATTATTCTCCTGAATATGAGTGACTAACATAATTATATTGAATTGAGTAGTAAGAATCTTAAATATTAGAATCTGACGATAATTTATTATAACTGTATAAAGGAACAAGACTATCAATGATGATGAAAATAAAGATTAAATTTAAATCTGAAAATTTGAAAACATTAAGTGTATTGTGCACTCTTGTCGGTCACAGTGTCTCATTTCGGGAGACATTGTCACTGCATGTCTCCCAGAATGATATCAAGTTCCCCATTCATAACTTGAATGCGGAACTTTGACCGACAAGAGTGCACAATACACTCTTGTCGCTCAAAGTTTTGCAATCACATTCTGATTGCAGAAGATTGTCTCATTCTGGGAGACATTGCCTCTGAATGTCTCCCGGAATGAGACACTGTGACCGACAAGAGTCCACAATACACTCATTTAAATCCAAATTCCTTTAAATTCTATTATGTAAAATCTCCTATTTTAAACAATCCATTCCATTCTAATAACTAATGATATCCATATACATGGATATCATATCCATTACTCAATTAGCTTACTTAACTTTATTTCCAAAAAAAAACTTTGATACAAATACATTTATTCATTATGATCATTACCTTTCACATATAAAGAAATAAACTGATTTCCGATTGCATTTTCTTTGTCCATCTCGCGTACCCATTGATTTGTAATTCTTACAAATTTACCTTCAAGATCCAATCTTCTATAAAATTTAAAATATGGTGATCCATTTCTTGCAATTTCTAATGAAATGATAGCAAAACGAATATAAATGCTACCATCGGAAAACTCCAATATGTTGGGTTGCGCATCTTGGGATTGTTGATTGCTTCTTATGAACAAATATTTGCTCATCTTAATAATTTTCTTTTCCTTAATGAAACCTTTAAAATCTCCGTCATCTGGCAGTTTCAACATTTTGACAAGTTGAACAGTGTTATTTTCATCAAGATATACAATACCGCATAGATCTGGGCTGAAGAAATGTGTGATAAACAGCCTTGGATCGCCCTGTTCACGGAAATCGAGATCCTGATAGAACTGTCCTGGAGAAACCCTGACTGATCTGCCCATTCGTAGAAGAATTTCCATGAATCTGAGGACATCTGTGTAAACATCATCATTTTCAATATGAAACAATTTAAATACATCATTAATATCTTCGGGATTATAGGCCTCTAATGTGAGTATTGTAAATAGCATTTGTAAACTTACGTTCAATGAAGATCGTTCATCATTTAAACGTATTTCAAGGCCATTAACGTGATCGACACTGTGGTTTTTTTTTATTTCTCCTATCCGCGAATTCTTTGAGATATTTCGCTTGAGTCTCGTAAACGAAAAAGAGGATTTGACGCAGTCAAATCCTCTCTCTCAAAAAGTGGACTTTACATGGCAAATTTCAAATGCATGTAAGGTCCACTTTGATCAGTTTCAGGATGGAATCGGAGGCCATGAGGTACTGACATTGCATCAGTATCTCATAGCCTCCAATCCCTTCAAAAAATGGGAGAAACTTTGGTCGAATAATTTAACATTCGGCCAAAGTTTCTCCCATAATTAATGAGAATGAAAGGGTAAGAGGCATATAGGGTCACTATATACCTCTTACCCTTTCATTTTCATTTGGAGGTCAACAAACCCGGAGTTAATTGCAAACAATTAACTCCAAATTTGTTTATGTTAAGGAAGGAATTGGAGGGTAAGAGGTACATAGTATGAATATGTACCTCTTACCCTGCAATTCCTTCTAGAAAGTTCCAAAACTTTGGGTTAATTGCAAACTATTAACCCAAAGTTTTGGAACTTTCAAGTGGAGATGGAAGGCTTTGGGGTATACATTAATATAATATACCTCAAAGCCTTCCATCTCCACTACAAATGGGAGAAACTTTGTCCGAATAGTTTAACATTCGGACAAAGTTTCTCCCATATTTCAATGTAATTGCTACCTGTGAGGTACTGACTTGAAGTCAGTGCTTCACAGGTAGCAATATCCAAAAATTTAAAAACATTTTATCAGTTCGTTAGAGAACTAGAGCCTCCTAGGTACTGAACCAGAATCAGTGCCTAGGGGACTCTAGTGATCTATATAAATCTGAGAAACTTTGAGGAAATTGTTCGACATTTCCTCAAAGTTTCTCAGCAATTTAGCGAGGAATGTTCGTTATCGTGTAGATATTTATAATATATACATGATAACAAACATTCCCCGCTAAAAGATGTAAAATCTTATAAGAAATAATTGCAAAAGAATAACAAATTGCAACAAATTTTATATGAAACTGAACCTTATGAGGTAGTGATTCAAGATCACCGCCTCATAAGATTCAGTTTCAATCTCAAGTATCTCAAAAGTAAGACTCTATTTTTTGCCATGTAAACTGTCACTTTTCTATCAAACTGTTTTTATCATTTTCGTTTACAACATGAGAAAAGCAAATTGCTTCAAACTGCGGAGCCTTATCTATGCAATTGATAAAGGAGGCACCTCCTCTTGCCATTGAGCAGAATATCTGATCTGGAAGGTGTGATGGAGGATCTTCGACTTCAACAGGAATTGGTGAAAAAGCATCAGCGATATTATCAGGTTCGTAATCCGACGGAGGATCAACTGAACTCTCATCCTCAGTTGAATTGAGGTTGTATTCATCAATGAAGTCCAAGTCATCATCACTGAATCCGTCAAGATCTGCTTCAGGATGCCACTCTTCATCATCATCATCGGAGTCGATTTCTCCTTCTTGCCTGTGATATCTTCTTTCAGGAATTTCACTAAAGTCTCGGAGCATATCCAGATTCTCACCTTGTGGTAATGCTTGCTCGGCTTTGTGTATGTATTCTTCCCTGACTTGTTCGATCTTCTCAAGAAATTCGGCAGCTTGCTCATCAGTAACTTTGCTGAGAATTCTTTCATTTTCTCTGAGATCAGCCTCATGCATATTCCATGCTTCGATAATGAGGTTTTCATCGAGACATTTCCAGCATTGGACCAAGATATACACAGCCATTTTCAGTGTGCACATTAAGGTTTGATCGATGGCATAGAAATCCCACCACATTCGAGTCGCCATGTTTTTGAGAGCGCCAAAAACCTTCACGTCGAGTGGCTGGCAAAGATCTGTACAACCAACTGGAATGTAAACAAGATCAATGTTGAGTTCTTTTGCCAGGTCCTTCGTCTCCTTGTTCCTGTGGCTGGAGTAAGTGTCGAGGAATAAAATAATTTTGTTATTCCTCCTATAACTTTCATTGTCGCCAAACGCTTGATCATACCAGTCGCGAACCCATTCGAGGTAAGATTTGAAAACCTCATGGGTAGACCATCCTGATTCGGAATGAAGGATCTTTTCATTGCTGATGATCCGGTGTTGTGCATGAAAAATAGCGTAACTTCACTTTTGACAAAAAGTGACATTATTTCTGATGGTTTTGTCATTTATTTGTCAGATTTATAAATGGATAATAATGCTGTAAATCAGATATTAATTAAAAATATTTAAGATTTATGTTCGAATTGAAAAGCAAAATGATATTTTTTTTAATTGAAAAACGTTAATATCTGATATTTTGAAGTTTGTAATATTTGTTAGTATCTTAAATTATTGAATGCATACGTTTTTTATGTTCTCAATTTTAAAAAAATTGTGAAGAATTTAGTTTTTTGGAGATGGATGTTTAATATTTGTGAGTGAGAATGCAAGCAGGAGTTTGGTACTTTAAGGCTAGGTTGAGATAGATTTCCCATTATATTATCTGTGAATATATTGTTTGAAAATTCAAGATATAAAAATATATTATCAAAAAATTTTATATTTTTAAATACAATAGGGTGGAAGTATAGGACGATGAGATAGCAATGATATATTTTATAATGGGAGGTAATCTGAAGATAAGTAGCAAATTTTATGCGATTTTGATTGGGAGTTGGAGGGTGTGAGTACTATAGCATGTAATAGTATCTCACACCCTCCAATTCTTCCTATGGCGCCGAAAATTTTTGGTGAAATGTCGTCGCATTTCACCAAAAATTTTCGGCGCCATATAGAGAACTATAGTCTGCGAGGTACTGATTCTATCTATGTACCTCGCAGACCATAGTTCTCAGCCAAAATGTCAAAAATTTCGGAAATTCGAAATAATTTTTTTTGAGAAAAAATTAATCGTTGAACATTGCCAAAAATCTAAAAAACTCACAATTTTTTTTAAATTGATAACCCTCAAACCGTTTCCAATCAATAATTTGAGAGTCTATATGATAATGTAAAAGTTAAAACATTCAAGTATTTAAGTATTTCTTTAAAATATTAAGTTTTTTATTTTTCCAATAAAATTCTAATATCAAATATTTTTATTTAACGATTAATTTTATTTATATTTTTATAGTTTTTTTAAGAAAAAATATTGTTAGGGTTTTATGGATTTTCAATTAATATACAAGATAATTCATGAATGTATATATTTCCAAGTTTTTAAGGATGCAACACTTTACATTTGTAAACTGTCAAAAATGAAGTCACGTCAAGATTTTGCTGCTCTCTAAAGTTCACAAGATAATGAGGAGATATTTCGAAATTCTCTTTTTTCAAAACATGTTCAGGGTAAGCATCTTTAAACATTTCCACAATTACTCGGCACATTTGTGTATTGAAAAAAACTTTTTTTCAATAAATTCTGTGATAATGTAGTTGGCTATCAAGAGCTCTCCTTCGTCATCAATAGCTCTGTTAACAAGTAACTGTGCCGTTTTTGGGTTGAATTTTTCATCTTCCAGGTAAGCATTTCTATAATTATACAAGGTAGAGCGAGATATATTTGTAATGGTGACAATTTGATCAATAAGATTTCCGTATGATTCGTCAAAACTAGCTTTTATAAGATCCATTAAAACTTCGACTTTTTTATCGCTCAGAGTTGCCGCATTGAATCTTGGGTCAGGAACTAATTTGCCGAGGAATTTTAATTTTTCTTTGATATCTGGCGGAAGATCTTCTCTTATTAGATGGTCTATGTCAGTCATTAAAAATTTGTCTTGTCACTTTTTTATTTTTTTTTATTCTTTTGACAATCTGACAAAGTGAGAGCTGTAGAGACAAATGTGGGAGTATAGGCGGATCTTGCTGGAAGAAGATGTTTTTGGTATTTTGTCATTAAGTTTTGAGCTTTGACATATAAATCTTTTGACAATCTGACAAAGTGAGAGTTGTAGAGACAAATGTGGAGTATAGGCGGATCTTGCTGGAAGAAGATGTTTTTGGTATGTTTTGTCATTAAGTTTTGAGCTTTGACATATAAATCTTTTGACAATCTGACAAAGTGAGAGTTGTAGAGACAAATGTGGGAGTATAGGCGGATCTTGCTGGAAGAAGATGTTTTTGGTATGTTTTGTCATTAAGTTTTGAGCTTTGACATATAAATTTTGACAATCTGACAAAGTGAGAGTTGTAGAGACAAATGTGGGAGTATAGGCGGATCTTGCTGGAAGAAGATGTTTTTGGTATGTTTTGTCATTAAGTTTTGAGCTTTGACATATAAATCTTTTGACAATCTGACAAAGTGAGAGCTGTAGAGACAAATGTGGGAGTATAGGCGGATCTTGCTGGAAGAAGATGTTTTTGGTATGTTTTGTCATTAAGTTTTGAGCTTTGACATATAAATCTTTTGACAATCTGACAAAGTGAGAGCTTGTAGAGACAAATGTGGGAGTATAGGCGGATCTTGCTGGAAGAAGATGTTTTTGGTAAGTTTCGTCATAAGGCTTTAAACTTTGGCGAATTATATGTTAAATCTTTCATACTAATAAGCATAATAAAGATGCAAAGATTATTTGCTAGCGCCGGCTTACTAACATTAATCTGAAGAACAACTTTATTAATATGCTTTAAGCAGAAATGAACTGATTTATAAAGTACAGAATTTTAACGTAAGATTTTAACGTCATGATTCACAAATATAAGTCAATAGAAAAGGATATCGATTAGAATTTCTTCGTGAGGTCGTTTGAAAGTTCTGCAATCAGAAGAAGATTGTTGAACAATCCGCCATTCCAGGAGGCATGAGCTTGTTATGTCTCCTGGGATCACAGATTGCAACATAAAAGATGTGCATATGCACCTCTTGTCGGTTGAAAGTTCTGCAATCAGAAGAAGATTGTTGAACAATCCGCCATTCCAGGAGGCATGAGCTTGTTATGTCTCCTGGGATCACAGATTGCAACATAAAAGATGTGCATATGCACCTCTTGTCGGTTGAAAGTTCTGCAATCAGAAGAAGATTGTTGAACAATCCGCCATTCCAGGAGGTATGAACTTGTTATCTCTCCTGAAATGGCACATATTTGATAATTCATGGAGCAGAACTTTGCACGCAATCAGACAAAAGATTGCGACAGAGTAACTGGGAAGACAGCAACTTGAAGCGATAAGCTGCTTGGGTGCTGTCTCCCAGATGCATCTGTCGGGCAAAGTCTCAAAGGAGCAGAACTTTGCACGCAATCAGACAAAAGATTGCGACAGAGTAACTGGGAAGACAGCAACTTGAAGCGATAAGCTGCTTGGGTGCTGTCTCCCAGATGCATCTGTCGGGCAAAGTCTCAAAGGAGCAGAACTTTGCACGCAATCAGACAAAAGATTGCGACAGAGTAACTGGGAAGACAGCAACTTGAAGCGAAGTTTTGTTTTCGAGTCTTTGGTTAAGAAATCTTAACAAAAAAACAAAGAAAAAAATCAGATAAAGTTGTCAATAACTTCATCAGTTAATGCTCACCTATGGGAGGTGTTTTGCGGGAGCTGGGGGTATCTTGGTGAGTACTCAGGAGGCCAAGAAGGGCACCCCAACCGACATTATCCTGATGAATTCAGTTGTCAACCATTCTGAAAACCGCCGAAACCGTCGTGTGTAGAGAAATTGTTTAAATTTATTTTTTTCAGATTTAAATAAAAATAAGAAATGTTTACTATTATGGATTTTGAAATTTTTTTAAATGAAAAGTAGGAGATGAGACAAATTTAAATTTTTAAGAAATATTTGGAAGGGCGTAAGATACGCCAACTTAAATATATTATCAAATGAGAGAAAATCACTCAACAAAAAAACAATTCTTTCAAAAAGTTTAAAATTGATCTTTCTAATACATATTTTTGGAAGGGCGTAAGATACGCCAACTTAAAAATATTATCAAATGAGAGAAAATCACTCAACAAAAAAACAATTCTTTCAAAAAGTTTAAAATTGATCTTTCTAATACATATCCTATGGAAGGAGTTTACATTCTCAAAATAAAAACCAGTTCAAAATCTTATTATTCCTTGAATAAAAATCATTTAATTTCAAATCCATTCCAAATCCTTAAATCTGTATTAAAATCATTTTGCCAACAACCAATACAATACAAATTACATTTCCATATATCTTCTTGTCCATTTTAATTTTTTATCTCATTTTATTTAATTTTATTTAAAGCATATAGACATCGAGATCCTTTACACATAGTTATATAAAAGTCAAATACATAATAAATTCTTAATTCTAGAGATATCTCAAAATCTCATTTTTTTTAATTTAAAATACCTTTCATTTTTCACAGTACGATCACAACAAACAAGCCATTTACTAATTAACACATATAAGAAAAATATCAAATTACAAAACAACTTTCAATATCATTCGCATCGAATTCTATTTTTTCATAATTATCAACTACATGTTATTATATAATATATGTCGGCGCATATTCCACTCTATACAAGTGTCAGACACACTCACACAAAGCTGTGAGATTCATACCTCTATCAGTAGGACTTCTCAAATCAAGAACACATATGTTTCACTATCGCACATCTGTGTAGGATCTAATTAACCCTTTGGACTGGTACTTCAAAATTTGATAATTTGATAATTTCATGTGATATCATCATTTGCCTTTAAAACAACTGTGCGTTAAACTAGACACGTTTCTCTATCATAATGCAAAATATCAAAGTTTGGGAGACTCCCAAAGTGTCTGAAACTGATCATAAGGGTGAAAAACCGTTTACCAGAAGTTGGGAACGTAGGGTATAAGATCAAAAAAATAAAGCAAATTTTGCATGTGCTAGATGAATGAGAGCTTGTTATTGCGTTATAAAATGAAATGTGCAGGTCTCTTTTTATGTATACTGATTGTATGAAATTAGAAAATATCGAAACTCTTTGACCTTCGTCTTTTATGCCAGTATCTTTGATCCATGTTGACTAATTAATTCGATTCATCTATTAGTAGCCCTTTGGTATATAATGTGGCAGTTCACAGAAAAATTTTGTTGACTACATAAATAAATGATCGAAAATTGACTTTGTTCGGTTTTTGGATAATCAATAATTAATCTGCATATTATATATATCAAAATAATATAAATTTCCAAGATTAGAAAATTTTGTAATCCTTTCAAATAAATTTCTTTGTTCCATAAATTTTTTAAAAAGTGCCAAAAAATGGAACAGCTCGCTTTTCCTACATCGCGAGCGCATAGACGTGCACACGCATTTCAAAGAGTAGGCTCTCTTAAAAACATTCATCATCCAAGATCCAAATCATTATTAGAAACTGCAACAATTATTGTTACAGGCTTTACTTCTGACGTTACACAGGAAACAATCCAAAAAGCATTTTCGGTTTTTGGAAACATTGTTTCATGCACTATTAATACAAATGAAACTGAACCAATCAATCCAACAGCGAATATTGTTTTTTCTAATCCAGATGAAGCAAAAGCAGCTGTCTCAAACATATCCTCAATTAAAGTATGTGATAAGCCATTGCTTGCCTGCTTTGGTATCTCGAAAGAAAAAGAAAAACGAGCAAGCCGTGTGATATCTGTCAGAAAAATACCCAAAGACGTCGATCTTGATACTATTAAGCAAATATTCTCAAGATTTGGTGAAATAGAGAGCACGAAATCCCTTGTTACAGATGATCAAGATGTTTGGAAGGCAATTATTATTTATCAGACTTTTGAAGCAGCTTCTGCTGCTATTCAATCAATGAATGGAATGATAATATCATCATCCAAACCAATATCAGTCAAGTTTTACGATGCTGGTGGCATGTTACTACCAAGTCCTGTTATGTGTCGCCGTAATTCCTCCAGACTTACATCGAGTGATTTATTTGATCTTAGTTCGATGGTACATTAGGACTTTTTTTGTTAAATTCTGTTTTATTTTTAATTCTTCTCATAAAATTTGTAAATTCTCTCATGAAATGCTTTATTTTTGAGATATTCCGATAATACATGAAAAAATAACTATATCTTTGTGTTTTAATAAAAAAAATCTGAAATTCAAAAAATATTTATACGTAAACAGTTTACTATATTGTGTATTTGTATTAACATCGATACATAAACAATAAAAAAGGATACATTTGTCTGAAAAATTCATTTTTTTAATAATTACATCGATATTTATTTCAATATCAGCTTATTCATTATGTTAGTATAATAAAGATAAAAATTCAATGGCTATATTCATGAACAACAAAACAAACAAGGGGTTTTTAATATAAATTTAACAATATAAAAAATATAATAAAGCTTATTTGAAAGGACTGTAAAGTTTCTTAGAGAACTTTGATGATATTTGTTGCTGCAAGTCGACTAATTGTGAAATACTATTAGATGCAGCGAAATATATCAAAATTGAACTTTCAAACTCGATCCAGAGTTTTTTTGACTCATCAGGAATATTCTTAAAGAATAATTTGTTCGACATCGCTAAGGAATTCAAAATTACAAAAGTTGGGACAATTATGTTTCCTCTGACTTGCTGAAGGACAATTGATGGTGTTTTATTTTGGTAACCAGTTATATCATTGATTCCTTCCAAAATATCAAAGGCTTTCAAAATCAAATGAAATCTGTTTTGAAAAGGAAGTTTCCAGGTACATCTTATTAGTTTAATAGTATTTGTAACATGTTCTCTTACTATTGGTCTCTGTTCACCAAGGAATTTACCAAAAGGAGTAACAGATAAAGTTGAAATCGCGTTTTTCACGGATTTGTCCCAAATGTCCTGCATTTCCGTTATTTCGAACTCAAATGATTTATATATCTTAGGGACAAATTTCTCAATCGCGAAAAGAATCATCGAAATAAAATGAGATTGTCGGTCATAAATGGTTCTAAATGAGTTGATTGCGTTGGTATTCAGTTTCTCATGGGATATAATATGTTCTAATCGTCTGTTAATATAAGATTCCTTAAATTCATCCAAAATTTCTCTCCATTTCTTGATTTGAGACACTTTTTCTTGTTCACAAATGAACCTTTCGAATGAATTCGCTTCTTGGATCAATGTGTTTGTCAAAAAAGCTAAAGAATAATTATAATCTAAGTTATGTTTTTCTGTTTGACTTAATGCATATGTCAATATGTTTTCTCCATTAGCCTTTGCTTTTATCATAAATTGTTTTATGAGTTTCTGTATTTCTGTTGGGTTTTCAACAGATGGAAGTTCAAATTGTTTCAAATTTTCGAAAATCAAAGGATATATTGTTGGTTTTGAATGCTGTTTTGGATAATGTTGGTATATCTGACACCAAAAGTACACAGAATGAATACTTTCATCGATATTATTAAATTCAGATATCGAAAGCATCGAAGGAAGCATGTTTTTTGAGTTGAGAAGGTTCGCAATAAGGATTATATCCGATACACGTATGTAAACAAGCTGATAATTGTCATTTTGCTGGTCATATAACTTCGGAGGTTCAAAAGTTGTCCGAACAACCTTTAACTCAGCGAGCAAAGCTGATATTTCGTCTGTTTTCTGTCTCAAATTTTTGAAAATCTTCTCAAAAAGTGAAAAATCTGATGGTTGTGAAGCGGATTTCAACCAAATTAGGGTTAAAGGTGAAACAAATAGGTCAAAGAAGAAATCTAAGAATCTTTCTGTAGATATACGATTAAATATTTGTAATAGAATTGATAGATGCTGAAAAGGAAGCTTACAAAGGTTAGTTCTTATACAATCAATTAAAAAAGCAGAGTGAATTGGTATAAGTACGTTAAGATTCTTATTTTGAGGTACGGAAATGTCGATCATGAACTGCTGAAGAAAATTTGATGAAACAGATTCGATAAAAATGTAAACTCCTCCTGAACGAAAGAAAGGGACGAATAAAGGATATAGCCTTTGAATATCTCCAGTATATTGTTCAAGTATTTCGTTATAAAAATTGCCTGCATCAACTAAATTCTCTTGGCTGGAAAAATACGCGAAAAGTTGTGGCATTATGATGTATGCAAAGCTGGCAAAATACTCTTTATTGATTAATGATAGGATGAGCGATGCGAATAATCTGGGATTTTGATAAATAAAGTTGATAACAAAATTTGAGCTTTGCGCAATCTGCGAAACTCCGAAAAAGGGAAAGAAAGATGTCTTCTGTATGTAGGACACTTCCTTAGTGGCATCTTCAAATGGTAAACATAGCTTTCCGGGAATTAAATTGTAGTTTAATATGATTCTGTTTGCTTGTATGATATCCTTTTTTAATTTGTCCACTTCCCTTGAGTCTATCGCTTTGATAGCACCATTGTCTTGAGGTATTAAACTCGATAAAAAATCGAAACATTGATGCATATAAAAGCAATATAAAAAAATTGTGAGAAAAATGTGATTGCATTCAAAATTTTTATCATCGTTTTTGATTATTCATCAGCAAGGAAGTATTTTAAATAATAAGAAAAATTTTAAAAAATAAACAAATAATCAAAAATATATAAAATTTTAATTAATTTTTAAGAAAATCCATTTTTGAGAAAGTAAAGATGCGAGTTTCCGAATTTTTTTAGCCCTGGGATGTCATAACCGCTGTGGTTTTGTAAAATTTGGGATAAATTTTGACAATCCATTTTTTGTGGGATGTACGTTTATATCAATTTGCTCGGCGTTTGCCGAGCTATTGTACAATCCTACTCGAATTCATTACGCAGCCCTGGTCACTCAAAGGCCAGGGCATACAATTACAAAATAGTAGAGTGAGACTCTTCTAATTTCTTCCAATCACAAGGAAGATCTTAGAAGAGCCTCACTCTACTCGAACACATTACGCAGCCCTGGTCACTCAAAGGCCGGGGCATACAATTACAAAATAGTAGAGTGAGACTCTTCTAATTTCTTCCAATCACAAGGAAGATCTTAGAAGAGCCTCACTCTGCTCGAACACATTACGCAGCTCCTGCTCAACAATGAGCAGGTCTTACCACTTTGAGAGGCTTTCGCTCGAGTTCTGATGCAGATCCCAACGCGAGCGAGAGTCTCTCAAGCAAGCTTCTAATTCGTAGCTAGAGTTTCACTCTTATGAACTGGCAGCCAATTTGAGAGACTTTCGCTCGAGATCTAATGAAAAATCAGAACTCGGCCAAAAATTGCCCAAACAGGCTTGTAATTCGTAGCTATAGTATTGATCGTATGGATGTGTTGCCAATATGAGAGACTTTCGCTCGATGTCTGATATTGCATCAGACATCGAGCGAAAGTCACTCAAAACAGCTTAGACATGTCTATTTTGACGGCATTAAATGATTTCATAGGAAATGTCTCAGTTGTTAATTAAGTTCACGTGAGCTTTTATGAATGAAAATAAGTAAAAAAAAAGAATTTTCTCAAAAAAAATTGTGTACGCATTGAAATTTTTATCTATAAATTTAGATATGTCATCAATAATATAATATAATTTTAAATTCGTGGAGTACACTTGGGATAATTGAATATGGGCTACCCCATCCCAACCTCTCAAACTTCCTCTGAATTTGGACAAGGTATCCCAATCCCAAAGACCTATCTGAATAAAATGAAATAAGTATATTATATATATTATTTATTTGCTAATAATGAGCATAAATCGCTAAAATTATGAAGAAATTAAAAATTAAAAATTAAAATTAGAAAAAAATGTTGATTTAATGAGAGAATATTGTATAAAAATAGAATTATTAGCTAAAATACGTATTAATTTTATGATATTTCAATCACATTAACGAAAATCGCCCATTTTTAATTCAAATGGGCGGGAAAAAAAATAAAATTCCAAAAAAAATTGAATTGGGGAAACGATAGGGGACGGGATATGAGAAACCCCATATGTTTGGGAATTTTTCGCATCACTAGAGAAAGTTTTGTATGATTATTGAATCGATAGAATGATTTAATAAATTATGTAGTATACAAATATTTCAAAATTAATGGTAAATAATTAGGATTCAAATTTTGATAAATTTTTATTTGAGTTTTTCATTAAGTTCTTACCAAAGAAAAACATTCATGAGCTATCCACAATCAAATATTAAAATATGAACCTTATTGTTAAATTTCGTTAGTAAAAAGTTGACAGAGATATGCGTGGTTATTACAACTATTCAAATAGACGCTATCCTCAGTCAGCGAGAGTTCCAAAACAAAATAAAAGGCTTCCGCCAATGGACAATAGTGCTCCCCAACAAAATAACGAAATCACATATGAAGAAATAAGAGTACTACAGCTTAAAAAAGAAAACCTTTTAAATGAAAATCGTGATCTAATGGAAAAAATCGAAAGAACAAAAGATATGATGCAAAATCCAGATATTTATCCAGAGATGCAGCAATATTGCGAAAATGCTAAAAGAGAAGCCAAAAAACTAGATTCAGTTATAGAAGAAAGGAAGCTTGAATATCAAAATCATTTAAATTCTGACGTAACCCATGAAATATCGGAGCTGCAAACACAATTATCAATCATCAATGATGAAATTATTAGACAGAAGGAAATGAAAAAGAATTACGATGGTAAATTGAAAGAAATTACAGATCAACTGAATAATCTTCAATCAAAGATTACAGATGAGACAATACATTGCCAAGATACAGTTATAACAGACCTTAATAGAAGAATCAATATACAAGAAAAACGGAATACTGTTTTATTAAAAAAACTTCAAGAAATCAGAGACTCAAAAGAAATAGATGATGAGTGTGATGTTATAGCTCAACGCGAAATAGATCTGTTAAATAGCCAGATTTCTAAAGAAGAACAAGAAATTGAGCAAATAGAACAAGAAATCAAAGAACTATCTTCTCATGAATTGTTATAATAAAAATTGTTATTTATTGCGAAATAATAAATGCAAAATTTCTTTCTTTTTCTGTGAAATTTCAGGAAATATTCGATAATATGGCTTGTTAGCCCAATATTATAGGTCACTACTTAATAGTAGTAACTAATTGCTTACCACTTGTTAAAATAAGTCTAACGAAGACCAATGCAAGCTTATTTGATTAAATCCAAATAATTCAACCAAAAATGTTTAAATTCTTAACTAAAATAGTAGGTTGGTCTTAGAAACTTATCTTTAAATAGAAAAATTATCTTTATTTACTAATATTAACAAATTATAGCGAAGGTTTTGGTAAAATAAATGTCAAAAACATCGCGATGATAATACATTAATAGCAAAAGTCATGAGATATCCAGCCAGTTTCTTCTTCTCGCTGTCAAGATCTGGATGATTTGAACCATAAATCATCAAAATCATGTCAACATAACCATTTGTTAATGCAAATGGAATCTCCAAGGCCAATGTGAACTATGGATCTCTAAAATTAACAATTTTTTGAATCGAAATTATTTAATGGAATATAAATGATTTTAAAGACAGATGCAAGTGGCAACATATTGAGAGAAGGCCAAATAAACTTCGAAGCAACAAATCTACCAATGAAATCAAAGATACAGAAGACAGTTGTGATTAAAACAGGTGTCCATGATTTTAATGGACCTTCTGGACCGGAACAAATATATCCATGGAATATTATCAATGTTATAAAGCAAGTCAAAGCTTCAGCAATCCATAAAAGCCAAATCGATTTTAATGTTGTAAAAAATTGAGTTGTATGGTCAAATTTATATTTTCAAAATTGGAAATACATATAAACTCATATTTGTTAATTTTTCACAATTTGTTAAGGATAAGATGTTTTTCATGCTCATTTTAATTAATTTTAGCTGATAATGATGGATTATTGATGACAAAGAATCTATACTTACTTAAGATCAATAATGATTGGTGGCTTTTATCATCTATCCATATTCATTACATATTTAGAATTGCAATTTAGTTTCAGGAAAAAATATGATCAATTTCTTGACCATTACCTCAATCCAATCAGAATATTTAATGATGCAGGTTGAATTGTAATGAATATTAACATTCATAATTTAAATTTTTGTAAATTTGTTTCTTTTCGTGATTACATCATAGATGAACATCGATTCAACTATATCATGAAAGATAAATTAATAATATTGATTTGGCAGGCGGTCAATTGCGTAATATGAGCTTTCTGGTGGATTTCCTTTTTGTTAATTTAATTTGAATACCTTCTCAATAGTCTCAAAATTGAGAAGACGTAAACTAGATTATCATCTAATATTACAAGAGGATATTGCATACATTATATAGCATTATTTCAAAAATTTTTACAATGTGGATCCCTATGCAAATTGGACATTTCTGAATGAATGCGAGATCATTTGACAATTAATTTGGATCAATGATTCAATGCATTTCATGTATTAATTTTATAAGAATTAAACCCATCTAATCCTTTAAGCGAAATTAATCTGAACATATTCAAAAATTGAATGGATAAAATTATGTGTTTTTCCATCATTTGATTGATTTTTTAAAGATTCATTGAAAAATTAAAACCAATACTATTAATCAGTTTTATTAATGGTCAAAACTGTTTGCATAACAGGTCCCACAGGTGTCATGGGAAATGAAACCTTGAATCAGCTATTAACCCTTGGAGACAAAGTCAAAGTTCAATTACTTGTCTTAGACGATAAGAAGAACAGAAACATCATCAAGAAGTATGAAAAGCTTGAGAATGTTAGCATGTTTATGGAGATCTCAGGAACTATGATGATGTATTGAAAGCTGTCACAGGTAGCGACTATGTTTTACATATTGGTGGCATGGTTTCACCATATGCTGATGATAAACCAGAGTTAACAAAAGATGTCAACGTCCATGAAGCAGAAAATGTAGTCCTCGCTATCCAGGCTCAGAAGAATAAAGATGATATCAAAGTTGTATATATTGGAAGCGTTGCAGAAACTGGAGATAGGAACTACCCAATCCACTGGGGAAGAACAGGAGATCCAATCAAAATTTCTGTTTTCGACCATTATGGAGTTTCAAAAGTTCTTGCAGAACATGTTTTTGTTGAGAGTGGACTCAAGAAGTGGGTTGTCATGAGACAAAGTGGTATTCTTCATGCAGGATTACTTGAAAAGATGGAGCCAATCATGTATCATGTTCCATTAAATGGTGTTCTTGAGTGGTGCACCGTTGAAGATAGCGGACGCTTGATGAAGAACTTTGTCGATTTTGATCTCCCTGATAGTTTCTTCAGAAACTTCTACAACATTGGAAGTGGAGAGTTCTACAGATTAACCATTTTTGAATTCGAGTCCTTGCTTCTTCATTCAATCGGAATGGGAGATATACGTGGTCTCTTTAAACCAAATTGGTTTGCAACACGAAACTTCCATGGCCAATACTATATTGATAGTGACAAACTTGAATCGTTCTTGAAGTTCAGAGCTAACATTGAAACAGAAGAATATTTTGATATGTTGTCTAAGAAAGCAAAGATCGTTTTCACTCTTCCAAAGCTTATACCATTTAAAGATGCAATCTCTATAATGGGACAGCCTTTCATAAAGATGATTGCCAAAGATAAAAACTTTGGAACATTGGGATGGGTAAAAACAAAGTATACAGATAGAATGGATGCTCACTATGGAGGCATGGAAGAGTTTAATAAAATTCCATCATCTTGGGGAGATTTTGCTATCAAACATTATGAAACAAAGTTCAATCCACACAAAGATAAAAAGTTCGATCATGGATATGATGAAAGTAAGCCATTTGAAGAGTTAACAATTGATGATTTGAGAAATGCAGCAGAGTTTAGAGGAGGTTCTCTTGTTAGTGATCATTTTATCGATATGTACTCTAAAGTTACATGGGAGTGTGGACATTGTCACAAAGAGTTCAAAGCGTCACCAACACTTATCTTGAAAGGAGGCCATTGGTGTCCATACTGCTACATTCCAGAGACTTCATGGCAGTATGATTCTATTGCAAAGTCTAATAGGTTCTTTGCTCAAGGATGGAATTTCAGCTACAAAGAAGTTAACGATAAAAAGTATGATTTCAACAAATGCTTTGATAGAAAGTGCTTCGATTCATTCCAAAACTCTGCTAAAAGCTCAAATTTGATTTACTACTTACTTATTTCTTTTGCAATCCTGCTATTGTTAGTTTGTTTAATTGCATTTGCATAAAATTCTTAAAATTCACTTTCATGCTTTTTTATGAAATATTATTAGTGAAAGATTTATGATAGAATATCATGGGGGTATTTGCAGTAAGCTTATGATTTTGCTAAATTCCCTATGCAATTCTATTGCATTACTGATGATTTAGAGAACACTTTGAAATTCTTTCAAATGTGTATCACAAAAATATTCATAATGCTATTATCAAATCGGCAAACCCATTACTCTCTTAAATTTACAATTTTACCAGGATTTGATTAATGCTGAACATGTTTTGTATGAATATTATTATTGGCATCTGGAGTTTTAGTTTTTTTTTAGCCAGCTAAAGAGTCCCTTATTTAATATGGTTTTGAATATTATGCATAAATGATATCGAAATTCTTCTAATATTTAGATCACAAATAATACTTTTGAATTTCTTTATAGAAGTCAAAATAATTTTGACACTTTTTAAGACTACGATGGTAATTTCGTCACTTTTTAGACGACAATAATAATTTTGCCACTTTTGTAGACGGCATTAAAACATTTTCCATAAAATTAATTATATGTGAAATTTGAATACAATAATTTCAATATAGGTAGATATCAAGCATAATGGAAAAATGAATAAAAATCTTAAAACAGATTTGGAAATAGGATTTTTTTTGACAAAATTACCTATAATACTTACATTGAGAATTATATTCAGCATTGTTGTAAACAGAAATTCATCAAAAGTGACACCTCAGAAAAGCTAAAATATTGAATTTTTGGAACTTTTGATAGAGCACGTTTTTAAATATTAATTAAAGTAAATGTATATTTTGTACAGATTCTTTTTAATAAAAAATAAAATTTTGAAGAAGAACACAAAATCTTCTGAAAAATAATATCACATAAACTCATATTATTTTCTAATATATAACTATTTTATATAAAAATCAAATTCAATGATCTTAAAAGCGAAGAATAAACCTCAAAATTTACGAATATAATGAGTGGGAATATAATGCTTATCTATCATAAAACCATATGAAATATCAATTTTTGCTTTACGCCTAATTTTTGACGACAATTAGCAAAAAATGTTAAATGTTAACACTCAGTCCATTTGAATATGAAAAATAAAATTGACTTTGATTAAATGTTTTTATTTATCATGCAATTCTTCTTGCGACCAAAGATTTGAATAAAAGTTCAAAAAATAAGATAGCTTAAAAAATAATATACGGTAGTGTTTACTAATAGATGAATAGTATATAAATTCTATTAAAATGGATTTGATCCAAAAAAATATATAAAATTTGATCATAAATAAAATCGTTTTAAATTACTTCTTCATTTAAATTATAACAATTATTTTTGGTTTTATATTTTTTTGGATCAAATCCATTTTAATAGAATTTATATACTATTCATCTATTAGTAAACACTACCGTATATTATTTTTTAAGCTATCTTATTTTTTGAACTTTTATTCAAATCTTTGGTCGCAAGAAGAATTGCATGATAAATAAAAACATTTAATCAAAGTCAATTTTATTTTTCATATTCAAATGGACTGAGTGTTAACATTTAACATTTTTTGCTAATTGTCGTCAAAAATTAGGCGTAAAGCAAAAATTGATATTTCATATGGTTTTATGATAGATAAGCATTATATTCCCACTCATTATATTCGTAAATTTTGAGGTTTATTCTTCGCTTTTAAGATCATTGAATTTGATTTTTATATAAAATAGTTATATATTAGAAAATAATATGAGTTTATGTGATATTATTTTTCAGAAGATTTTGTGTTCTTCTTCAAAATTTTATTTTTTATTAAAAAGAATCTGTACAAAATATACATTTACTTTAATTAATATTTAAAAACGTGCTCTATCAAAAGTTCCAAAAATTCAATATTTTAGCTTTTCTGAGGTGTCACTTTTGATGAATTTCTGTTTACAACACATCGAGTAAAATTATCACAGATAAGAGTTTGAATGAAGAAATCTTCATCTTCTTTTGTCACGTCTTATCAAATTTGAATCTGAAATACTTGTTGTTGAGAGACATCAATCACATCATGACGTTTCACTATAATATTTATATGTAATAGTAACATATTTATTCATTGAGCTCATCTGAAAACAATATTAAAAGCAAAATTTTGATGAATTAACTTTCATTTTGTCTATTATGATGAAACCATTCTAATATGGAGGTTTCTATTAATAGGTTCCAATCTATTCTTAAACAGATGAGTTTTTGATGTAAACACATTTGATTACAAAGTTGTTGTCCAAATGATGGTATACACCATGAAAAAGGGTTCAACATATTTTACTGGTTTTTATTATCATCACATGTATTCAAAACCAACCAATCTTTATTTTGACAACTCTGACAAAAAGAAATTTACGGTCCATTTTGATTTTCAACGTAAAATGGTTGAAAATAGTGTAGATACATACTATGGACGCGACATATACTTACCAGGAGTCACTCATTATTATTTGTATGGTGATTTTTTTGAATCAGTAGATAGTTTACCCAACTCTTTTAGATTGCATTTTAGTGGCACTTACTTGATTACAATTGGTACATCATCTAAAACAATTTATGTTGAGCGTTCATCCATTATTGTTATTATTCGTAATGATGTTCAAACAGAGTATCAAAAAATTATAACTGGCGTGACCTCTATAACATTTCCTGCAGGAAATGCAGATAGTTGTGTACAATTAATTTATGCAAACTTTAATGAAGAGAGTTCTTATTCATATACATATGACATAATTCACAATCCAAAAGATCTTGAAATAGGTTATTATGCCAAAAATAATCAAAGATATGCTAATCTAATCATATATTCAGATTCTTCAATGTTTGTTTCTGTTGAAAATTTATGTACTGGGAAGAAAGACGAATGGATGTTACCGAAAAACGAGGCATTTATATATACAATCAATTTGAATGAGCAGATTAAAGTAAGGGCCGATTCTCTTGATAGAAGCTTAACTTCCGAATTATTTGATCATTCAAAACCAAAATTTATTACATCATTAACCGAAAATATCAAATATCCATATGATATTTGTAATCTATCAGAAACGAATTTTTATTTTTGCAATGTCTCAACAAAGAAAACATATCTATGCGATTCTGTACAAACAGGAATCTTGAATCCTTCTCTGTTCGATTTTAATAGTCCGTTGGTATCTTCAAAATCAGGGACTAATGAATTAGTAGCAATTAATTATTATTCTGGAGATGATGTTATTGTTAATGATTTTGGGACATTTAAAAGTTCTAATTCAGAAAAATTATGGGCATTTTCAACAATACCGATTGCTTGTGCAGCTTCTGGATATAGTCTCAAGACATATTATAATAATGGATTATATGGATGTCGATCAGATTCTGGAAATGTAACTGTTCTTAAAGCAAATATTGAAGAAAATGTCACTAGAAGTTTAAACATCCAAACAGATACAAATAACATCGAAGCGGTCGATGATTTCGTTTATTTGGCTGGAGGAATCAACTCACTGGAAATAAATGGAACCCTAAATATTTCTTTTAAAGGAATTTTATTTATTCCAAACATGACAGATCTTGAAATTGTTGATTCATCCGTGGAACCTAAATATGAAGGATACTATTTTGATTCTCAGAATATTGCTTCAATTCAAATTAGATCAAAGAAACTCGTTAAGTTCAAAATATTCTGTATATGGGAAGATGAACCATTACCAATATGTTACAATGTTCCTACAGGTAATTATAACTTTTCTTCAAAATTAATTTTTGCAAGTGAATTTCAGTTCCATACAAGTCGTACAAAGTTTGACTACAAATATTATCATACGTTTGAAGAAGACCGTTATATAACATATCTTCGTATGATGAATTACAAAATACCAGTGGATTACAAATATAAATGTTTCGGAATTTCATTAGAAGGTGAAAATAAACATTTCAGTGAAGAATTGACAAATGATACTAGTACTCACATTGATAAAAAACTTTTTATCATCATATGAAACCTGGAAAAGAATACATTTATGATGGAAAAGATTGTGCATTTATAGCAGATGAAAGTGAAGATGTTTATATTGCCGGAAATTTGGATTCCGAAGAAAAGAACTTTACTAAATTAGACCCAGAACAATTTTATTCCTGTAATGATGGATTTGTATTGAAATATAATGGAACCCGCAAAAAAATTAGGGTTATCATTCAATGCGCATATGGTGGATATTTTACTGGGTATGAGAAAGAACAGACGCAAAATGGTGTACCTTTGAAACCTTTATTGACAGGCAATCAAGATTTATGGACAATCTTTCAATCTTACACTACAAAAAGAAAGTATATCTTTGATAATCAATCTACTATATATTATAATGAAACCACGGAAGAACTTTATCATGATTATGATTTGCGTAATTATTTTATCTCAAATTATCAAGATTATCCTCAATATATAATTGATGGAAATAGTTCAATATCTTTTAGATCGAAATCAAAAGATTACACCGTAATTATTGTAGTTTCTAATGTTGTTGGAGTAGCCTTAATAATAACTATTATAGTTGTTATTGTTTGTTACGTGAAGAAGAAGAAAAAGAATGCAGAAAAAGAATCAAGTTCTAGTTCAACTACTTCACAACAAGTTTAAATTTTAAACGTTAATTTTAATCAAATTATCATTTTTTTCCTGATTTATTCAGAATATTTTGTTTAAAAATTCCAAGAATGATGTGATTTTGCAATCGAATGAATCGGACAGCTATAAACAATTCTGAGAAGAGCATTATTTGTGAAACATGAAATGGATATATTGTAGGATCGTAATAATCAGTAATCGAAATATTAATAATGAATTCAGAATCTTTTGAATCATCGTAGTATTTTGTTTGGTTGAAAATCAAACTCATGTTTCTATCAATCATTGCTTAGCTAATCAAATATTTGCTACTATTATCACAATAAATTTACTAAAACTATAAAATTAATAATTAAATGAGTTCTTTATGTGATTTAGCATGCTTTTATTCGAAACTCGAAGAAATCCACTTTTATTATTTCAATAGCTTAAGTAGCTCATGGTGATGATATCCAGCAAGATATTTGCCAAATTTGCGTTGTTTATAGAATGCATTTTTGAATTTGATTGGGGAATTTTCCGCAAATGTTGCATTGATAATTAGAGGATAAGAGGCTCTCTTATGCTGATTTTCTACATAAATACTGATTTCATAATTTCCTGGTGTCGCATTTCTTGGAATTGAAATATTATAATCTATATCGACTGGTTTATAATCTAAAAGAGTTTTATTGAGAATATTAAACTTATTACTTTTATTAATTTTATGATAGAATATGAGTTGTGCATTTTCTGTAGCATCTTTAATTCGTAGTTTATATTGAATTTTTTCGTCCTTATTAATATAAATAGGAGATCCCGGCGACTTCAAAAGTGCCAGAGATGGATTGCAATAATCAATATTAAATCTTCCAGAATCTGTTCCTTCATAAAACATTGAATCTTCTACTCTTACAGAAATTGTGTGATATCCTGTGTTAAAAGTTTTTGGAATAGAGAAATTCAGAAAGAATACAGGTCCCATCGACTTTACATTTATTGTTTGGGAGGCAGTTATGCCATTGTTGTTATCAACTAATCCTTCGACATTTAGATAGTTTCTTTCATCTCTATCTGAAACATTACCAAAAACAAAAAGATTAATGTTTGAATTCGGATTTTGAGAAATACATGCTTTTGTTATTTTAATTTTCGGAGGTTGCTCAATACCATTCAGACGAAATTTCATATTGTTACCAAATAAATGTGAAATTTCATCATGGTTTTGATTTGAATGCAATAAACTCATTATAGTTTTCCTTTCTGAATTCAAGTATTTCATTAGTTTATTATATCATCAATTTAATCATTAAAGCTATAGTTGAATTCAATTTTGTTTGATAAAAAAGTAAAGTCAATCTGATCTAGAGGAATATCATTATAGCAAAAGGGATTATAGTTTACTGTAGGGGTTTTTGGAACAATTCCTATATAGAAATTATTCCATTCACAAGAGGCTAAACATATTTTTTATAAAATAATTTTGAAATACATTCAAATTCTTTATCTTCTCAAAAAATCAGCATTTTATTTCAAAATTTTTTATTATAGATTTATTTTTTGATAAATAAAAACCAATCCATTTTTGAGAACATCTTGCGTAAAATCTTATAATTTCAAAATTCTGAAATGTCAAGCTTTTGATCAGACTATTAATTCAGGTAAGTAAAATGAATATAACGACTCTATAATGCATAATAATAAACTAAAATATGCTGAATTTGATTCTCAGCTGAAAAATTATTAATGCACAGAGTTAATTTGAGCTTTTGAAAATGAATAATAATACATACGGAAATAAAATTTACCAAAGGAATCAAGCACTGTGTAAAATGCAAATATTATTGTTTTAAAAATATTCTTTGATATTTCAAAATTAGGATATTGCCAATTAGAAAGGCAGAAATGGTTAATACTCATACTTATAATAGACTCTATTGTCATTTATCTTCAAACCAAATTAGATTAATATGAATAATTCTCAATTTAACATAATCCTACAAAATAATTAGATTATCAAGTTCTTAATTCGGATATTGACTGGTGTATGAAATAGTACAATAATACAATAATATTTAATAATTTATTTGGACGTCTTAAAAAGAATGCGCGGAAAGAATGGTACAATATACCTCCTATTCATGTGATATTTCTTAATGGCATCAACAAATCTGTTTTCTGTGGATTTTGAAAATTTTATGATATTTTTTACAAGATTTGAAATTTGTTTGTTTTGGTCTCGTGCAACAATGCTTATTTCATAAACACCTTCTGTAATATTGGTTGGGACTGGAATATCATATTCAAATTGGAATGGGTTCACTTGAATATCTGTTTTGTTAAGGATATTGTAACTCTTACTATTGTTAATAGAGTGATAAAAGATAAGACTAGTATTCTTATTGATATCTTCCACTTGTAGAGTGTATCGAAGCGTTTTATCTCTTCTAATGTAAATTGGAGAATCTGGAGCTTTCACAATTGATAGGACTGGAGTATCGTAAACTATGTCAAAGCTCCTGAAATCAGTTATACAATAATGCATTCCGTCACATACCATAATTGAAACATTATGATTACCAGCATCGAAAAAATCGGGAATCGTAAAATTAAGAAGAAATTCATGTGAACTAGAGCTGTTTATATTTATTGTTTGAGATTTATATAAACTACTATTGCAATCAAGATAACCAGTTATATCTATGAATTCGCTTGCATCTCTATCATATGTTTTCCCTGAGACAATACAATTTAAGTCTTTTTTATATCTAAGATTGGTTGAAACTTGAATATCATAAATGGATGGTGGTCGTTCAATTCCTTTTGGCTGTAATCCCCTTCCAAAAGGTAGGCCTCTATTTGGTCCACAATAATCATTAGAATATAACCTTATTCGGTTTTATATTAGGAAAACTATATTTAATAATTTATGATTTAAATGTAAATATCGAATTTAAAAATACTTGCTCGCTTTACGTATGAGTTACAATATGTTTTTTTCTTTGTAAAACATTCTTTGAATCTAGTTCTGAAGTTACACTTTCATAAAAAAATTTTTGAATACTATTCAAAAAACCACTTTTTCTGAAATATTTGTTGTAAATCATATTTGATAGTTTAAATTATGAACGGTAAGACATGATCATATGTTCATATGCAAAAAGACAATACAGTACTGCAAATGATGAAATAACAAAATTTCAATGTTCATAATTCTGATCATGGAATAACAATGGTGACAATAATATATTTTCTTAATTAAGTTGATGCATCTTTTTATATATCATAAATAGTTAGAATAAAATATCCTTTCTAAAAAAATAATCCCGCCTTAAATGCGAAACATAGTGATAAGTAATAATAAATACTAAAATTTAAAATAGCAAAAAGAATATAGATAATAAATTATAGAAATAAGGTCAATTATTTTTTGAAAGTAATTTTGAACGAAAATGTAACATCATTTGAATTCGAAGATTTGCTTGTAGATATTTCGATGTTTTTCGGCTGGTCATAAAGTACTTTTGAGTCATCCGCATTAATAGTTATTGGAATAGTTATATTTGGTGCCACTTCGACGGCCTGATGCTTCCCTTCAGGAGGTTTTGGTGGCTCTGGAGGCAGAGAATTTCTATCAACTGTCTCATGTGGCTGTATACGTGTTCTTTCTCTGAATTTTTCTGGGATCTTAGGTGGTTTGATATCAGGATTATTTTCTTCATCTTCATCCGACTCGCCATCCGACTCGGACCGAAGCTGAGCCTTATTCTCTGCCTCTTTTTTCATCCTGATTAACTCTTGCTCTTTAAAGATTTTCTTATTTGCGTTGTTTTTGAGTATAATTCTGTCGATGCTGTCGATTGTTTCTGTCATATCGTAATCAGGATAAAAGATTGTGTAAGTGCCGTCCTGAATGTTGAGAATTTCCGCCCGATTAATGTCTTATTTATTTTCATCGATTATAAAGATCTCTTGCCCTACATGAAGGTTCAGGTTCTGTGTATAAGCGAACTTGGGGAAATGATTCGGCATTTTTGAAAAAAAAACGCCATAAATTCAATCTTAATATTCTCATATTATGATTGTACAAACACTACTTGTATAAAATATAACTGATTTGAAGTGTATTGTTCAGATATTTTATATAGATTTTTTCATGATTAGTGTATCTGGGAATTCAATTATGCATTTGATTGCTTAACACATCATCATCACTAATCAACACTGCATTGAAAAGACGCATATGCTTAACTTGCCTCTCATATTCAGAATAATTATATTAAAGGTTCAATAAAATCAAATACAAAGCTTCATAATCAACGAATATTCTTATTTATTGAGTTTGAATTTTTGATCAACACATGAGGAAATAATGGCCTGCAAATATCAATGTTTGATTATCAATGGCTTCAAAAAATCTTGTTTGATTGAGTAATAACATCACGTAAGTAAATGCATGTCATTCAATGCCCTCAACAATCAATTATGGATATATTTTGTTCGAAATTTTGTCCTTTTCTTCCAATTGTCAATAGATTGAGCCTCTAAACATGAATTTTATGATTTGCTAAATAGAACTAGTACACTATCTAAAACGCTAACTTGGAATTTTTGAGAGTTTTGAACCTTGAGTCTCAAAAGTTATTCATAATTTTGCATGAATTATCACATCACAAGGCAATAATATTAGGAAGAAAAATCGAAATAATTCAAAGGTTTTTCATTTTCTGAATGTTGAAGTAAAATTTTTGCATTTAAATATTTACAAAAGATAATCTAAAACAAGTAAGATATAATTTGTAAGAATTCAAATATTGAGAATAAGAAATCAAGTTGATATTATATATAAGTATTTATCTAGCATCAGAAAAAATGATTTCGGGTACTTTTCATTTCTGAGTGAATTATGGTTTTCATTGAATTTTTGAATGATTTTGAATCCATTACATTGGTAATTTCTTTTGTTCTTACCATCAAAAGCAATGATAAAATAATAATACATGTAACTTTCAGAAACTGAACTTTACAAAATTAAATCCATGCTCAATAGCTCTTGTGGTGGTGTTTTTTCGGTTTTAGGATCGAATGATGGCACTAAAGAGCATCAAATATTTGATTACCAGCAACTGCTTCCGCAAATTGAGATGTCTCACTACTCAGATATTGAAGATCAATATTGGACTAAAACATTTAAAATAGACCAAAGATTCGGAGATTTAAAAGATAATATTACGAATGAATATAGCGATTCTTGGATAGATTCATCTCTCACAAACTCTCCTGTTTCTTGGCAAAAATTTTGCAGAGGTTTGTCTTGGATATTCAATTCGAAAGAAATTTTGCCGATTCTCACAAAGCAGTTCGTTCAGCTTCCACAGGATTTAATTTATTTCCAGAAAAAATCAGTTCAAGCATTTACCGTAATTCTTCAGATTTTAATAGAATTATGCAGAGTATCAGACTGTCCGTCCCGGCTACTCAAATTTATCTCTAATTTCATGCTTCCAAAAACCTATTTCGAACCTATAACATCACAATGCGAATTTATGTCTTTTGCGAGTCCAATCAAGCTGTACAAGAACATCCTTTTCTCGAAACCCGAAGATGCATGGGCAATTTTAACAAATAAAAAACATTTGACAGTTCTTTCGAATAAAACGACCAAACCTATCTACGAAGTCGATATAGAGTCAATATCTCAATCGTTTGGTAAAATCAGAATCATAACTAAGCAAAAAACTGAAATTGTTTTTAAATGCTCAGACGATGTAGCAAACAACTTATGGCTTCGATCACAAGTTACTGATCTTATGTGGCTTGATTCTCTTACTCCTTCTTTCTCAAAAAACTATCCTCCGAATTTTTTATATGCTTTCAGTTCTACTTTGTATTTAGACGACATGCTTATCATACAAGCTCTTTTCTCTATACAAATATCCCAATTAGAACTATGGGATCCCATTATTGATAACTTAATTACACTTTCCATTTCATATGGCCGACTCGACTCATTAGTTTCGTTTATTTCGTTCGATGAAATATCGCAGACATCAGATCCGAACTTAATCTTACGATCAAACTCGATTTGTACCCATTTTTTGAAAGTTTATTATAAAAGATTCGGAAAAGACTACATAAACAACGTCATTATACCTCTCTTTAATGAAGTCTGCAAGATCCCCATCGATGACATAGCAGACGAATCAAATGACGTCGAAATAATCCGAAGATATATTTTGATGTTCGCAGATACGGTCATGAACTCGTTTGACAAGATCCCAAGAGCCATCAGACACCTTGCAACCCATATTTTCTACGCTACGGAGTGTACATTAGGTACATGGGAGGCAACTTTCAATTCGATCACGAATCTTTTCATTTTGAGGTTTTTCATAGCTTTCTTTTCATCGCCAAGTGAAATGCCGATAAGTACTGTTGATTCTGTCAGATATAAAAAGGTTATTATCCCGTTTGGCGCGATTATGTTGAATTTCCTGTCTTGCAATGGCATGTCCAACAAGTACGAGTACTTAGAGCCAATAAGAAAAGACTATTACTCATATAGATTAAAATTGCTTGAATTTTTTTCGTCTCTTCCTTTGAGAAGGAACGAGCCAGGCCAGTACGTGCAGCCTTCAACAAAAGAAGTCGAAACTTCCTCAAAATTCATTCTCGATTTCATTGTTGACAATAAGGAACAGTTTTTGAGGCAATACAGGGGTTTGATGACGAATGAAAACAGATACCACCCGTTTTCTTACAGAATTTTGCATATGCTTTATTCTTGTCTCGTTCATACTGAATTATAATTTTTCATTATACTTTATATATATATTTTGTTGTTAGATTAAATCTTTCTGTTTATAGATATTTTAAATTACCAGCTCTTTAATCTATTTCGAAAACAATCTTAAAAAATTGATAAAAAACCTTTTCGATTTACTAATAAATCCTTGGAAAAATAGAAACACATCTTATGTTATTTTGAGTTTTAAGTTAGAATTAGCTCGGTTCGAATCTGATTCAATACGAAAAGAAAAATCTATTCATTATAATGATTTAACTGAAGATTAGTCACGAAATAATGTCTCATGAATTCATTGGTATGAGTTATGGCATGCGAAATGTGAGTGAAAAACCTCTTCAAGTTTGTTTTTTCCTTCATAAAAGATCACAATTAAGGTTAATATTTTATTCAAAAGAAGTGTTTTATTATTCATAATGAATGTTTTCAGTAAAATTTTGACGACGATAATCAACCGTTATTTTGATTGAAAAGTTAATAAATTAAGAGTTTCATTCAATGCTCGGTTTAAGGACTCCACCTGAACACAAGAGCTCTGTCAGGTCGGGTGTATATGGATCTGGTTCCTGGGAAGCAGAAGCTGAAACAACAAGCCGAAGAAACAATTACGAATATGAAAATCAATATTCTTACGACTCATATCAAAATAATGGTAGGGCATCGAACAAGCCATACATGAGCTCACTTGCCTCAATGTATGGTGACTATAATGAGAATTTAGAAAGAAAAAGAAGAATGCAAGAGCAACTTGCTGAATCTTTAAGGCAACAAATAGAAGAAAAGAAAGCTGCTCAAAAATCTGCATACGAAAGACAACCTAAAATCCCTACTTATTCTAATCAACCGATGCCAGATTTGAATACTCGCCAACAGATACAACCTATTCAACAACCTCTCCCACCTCAACCTGCTCCACAAGTAGTATACGCTAGTCAACCTGTAAATAGAGTTTCTTTCGCACCTCAAATCGTTTTGACGCAAAATGAGCCTCAAGCAAGAACAATTTCAAGAGCGATTCCTGTAGAGAAGTTTGTACCATTAAGAGCTACATTAAACATTACACAGCCTCATCAAATTACAGTTCCTACCGAATCTCCATTTGACAGACAGAAAGTCGAGACTCCTCCATTGGGATTCTCAATAAGACATGCACAGCCTGTTAAATCATCTTTGGCGCAAACGATGAAACCAATTAACAGAGTTTTACCTTTAAATCCTGGAAAGAATCCAATGTTTTACTCCGCAAAGCCAAAATCAACATTTGTACAAGATGATGAGTATAATGCAAAGCCAGATTATCCTGGACCTCCTACCGGAGGAGATTTTTACCAATTAAAGCCTCTTGAGTGCTATAGTGACTTGATTTACCCAGATGGACACATAAGTTCAAGATAATTTCATATATTTCTTTATCTGCGTTGTTTGTTAGTAAAAATTTTTATTTAATCCTGAAACTAGAATTTTTCATCACTATATACATTACTACTAGAATGTTGAAGATAATTTCCTATTGAAATCATCTTAAAATTATTCACATGTTTAGAGAAAAAATTGGAATTTTAGAGAAAATATTGTTTATTGGACTTCCAACACAAATATTTCAATTCTTTGAATGATAATTTGAATGTGAGTTAATGCGAATGCATTCGAATCCGAAGTTATAAAAAATTGGATTCAAAAATGTATTGAAAAAATGATGTTTCGTGAAATATTCTGTATTTATTGCCGAATTATATTGATAGTTTGGACTTTATTGCTAACGAAGCTTTAGGTCGAGACGATAGAAATTGAAAAGGTGACGTTTGTTGTTCCTTTTTCGATGCCAGTCAAAAGAAGGAATCATGGCCGTTCCAAGATGAACCGTGGCCACACAAGAACAGTCAACTGCATGAACTGCGGCCGCCAAGTCCCAAAGGATAAGGCTATCACACGTTTCGCCATCAAGAATATGGTCGATGCTTCATCAGCAAAGGATGTTTCTGATGCTTGCATCTATCAGGGCTATGAACTTCCAAAGACATACCAGAAGCAATACTACTGCGTTTCTTGCGCTGTCCACCGCCACGTTGTTCGCCCACGTAATGTCAACGTTCGCCGCAACCGTGTTCCACTCTTCCTTAAGCTCAGACTTGAGAAGCTCGAGCAGCGCAATGCTCAGCGCCTTTCTAAGGAGTAAATTAAAAATAATTAATACAGATCATTCATTTCTGACTATTTTTTGGAAAAAGAGATCATTCGGTTTTAAAAAATGTTATTCTTTACTGCATTGCCAAAGAATATTAAGAGAATGATCAAATATCTAATTTTTATACATGGATTTAAGAATTTTTGAATTGCGATGTTATATACTTTATGGATTAATATCTGTTTTCCATTGTCTTGCTTGGAAGAAAGAAGCTTTCAAGATATCTTGATTTTAAATTTTAACTTTAAAAGCAAAATTTCCTTAATTATCTCTTACATCGATATCTATACTATACGAAGGAAGATTTAATGCAATTTATTTTCTGTAATATAGTGGTGCCATATAAAGAGGAGTTATTTCTTGTAAAAATTTTGTAACCAATTAATTAAGTAAGTGAAATCATTGGATACAAACTGATTTAATGAACATTAAATAAAAGATGATATCTCGTATGAAGGCATTACCTTCTTCATGTTTCATATTTCTCTGTCTTATTCAAGAACTCCATAAACTCTATAATCTTGTCACGATACCATTGCTATGATAGAAATAACAAAATTGGATGAATAGAGTTTATTACATAAATTTAGTGTGATATCTTCGTTACAATAGAGGTAAATAATATTTGTTGAGTTTGCAAAACATTCAGAATGTAATGACTTGATACCTCTACCGACATTCACGTACTTGATATCAGTGAAGTTTGTGAAAAATGTATCATGATAAAAGATTGAATTATCCCTCCCAGTTGTGTGGATATCAACGGTGCCATTTGCAGGAAAATATGTAGTATAATACTCTTTATGAACATAATTAATATAATAATTATTTTTATATTGAGAAAACCAGCCTTCTGTCTCATTAAATGAAGAATCTGGTTGATCTTTATATCGAAAAACTGTTACATTTATTGAGTCTAAACCCCTAGGATCATAGTACAAAGCAGTAACAGTTAATACTGTTTGAGGAATTATCAAATGCTGTAAGTGGTATAAGCCATTTGTTGATGATCTGAATAACTTTGTCACTCCATAAGGTATTGTATAAACATCGCCTTTTTTTGCTGGTGGATAAGCAATCAAAGTCGTCATATTCTTATCATATAGTACGCCATCTAATACTCTAAAATATTGACTATTTTCATCAATTGTAAATTCTTCTAGTGTTAGGATCCAATCAAAAGAGCCCCAAATCGAAAGTTTTTTACAGTTTAATGGAATGTGGACAGTCTTAACTTTGCTTCGGTCTATAACTGAGTTTCCAAACTCTGTTATGGAATCAGGAAATTCAATTGTTTCCATATGTATATAATTCCAGAAAGCCCTTTCTACTACATATTGAGCATTACCAAATATTTTAATATGGACTGTTTCTAACAAGTTTTCGGTGTGATTATTTACGATTCCGTCAGTAATAATAATTAATGTAAAATTATCTTTGAACCATTTGATTTCCTCCGTGGTTTCTTTAATTTACTTTGATTCTATATAGTCAAGGCATTAATCATAAAGATATATCAAAAATATGTAAGTATTTGAACTAAATATCTTTTATAATTTTGATTATCACTTCACACCTGTAAATTGATTTTTTGAAGGGCGGATAAATAACTGACTACAACATCATATAATTCGACAACAAATACTCTTACTGTCAGTGGAACAGGAGCGGTCGATTCAACTGTATTTACAGACTACAAAACATCTACTATACACTTAATTATTGATGAAGGTATTACAATTATTAAAACGCAAGCAATTAATGGATATACACAACTAGTAGATGTTTCTTTGCCTGATTCTTTGGTTTCTATTGGAAATGATGTATTTTTACGTACGAAAATTATTAATTTAACTCTTCCGAAAAATGTTAAGGATTTATCTGTCGGAAACTCATTTGATACAATAGATACTCTTGAAAATATATTTGTTGTTGAAGAAAATCCATATTATCTCTCCATTGATGGTGTTATGTACACAAGAGATATGACAACATTATACTTAATACCGAAAAGCAAAAATATTTCCTACTTTTCTGTTCCATATGGCGTTAAAAAAATCGCTGCTGCTGTTCAGAATTATTATATAACTGCATTAGTGATTTCAGAAACTGTTAGAACAATTGATAGTTACTTTGGTCATAACACTCAAATCCAATATATATTTATCAAGCAAACACCTGGTCATGTAAATATCAGTACAAATCAATATTTTGCGAATTCGAAATATACTCCTATATTTGAATATATGAGTGAAGTAATCCCAACATGTAACCACCAGGAAATTATTCTTCGTAAATTTTCATATCAATTTTTATTTGTTTTCATACTAATGTAAAGGTTAAAAATAAATTACTCTGATAAACTAATAATATTTTTTTATTCAATAGTTGTAATTTTGTTCTGAAAGAATAGAATTAAAAACAGTATCAGAACAGGTGTTTGATTCGATGTGTCTGGCTGAAAACCAAGCCATTAGTAGCAAATAAGGAACATATAACAATAAAATTATTTTTCTAAAATTATTATTCGAAAAATACTTTAAAAAGCCTATGTTTATTGAAAACATCAAGGCTTGCATTAAGTATAATCCGAAATCGCATGTAGTTATTGGTATCTGAATCAATAAAATGAGAAATGTAAAAATTGAAAGGGGAAATATGGTCTGTGACAGCAGTAATGAGCCAAAAATTGACAAAACAAATGCTGTTATCAAATAAATATTGTGAAAAATTGGAATTTTTTCTGAATTTTTTGTTGCAAATTTAGTTTGATAATTGATATAGTCATTGTATCCATCTGTATTCCCTGGTGAACTGATATTCATGAGCCAGTAAATGAAAGAATAAGGAAATATGATGGATAAAGTAAGTATTGCGTTAATTTTGTCTTTTCTAAGCAAATAACTGATCATTATTGATAGTGTTAAGTGTATTCCTTCATATTTTGTTGCGCAGGCTAGCCAAAGCAGAAAAATTGTCGTATTTTTATGATTAAATTTGAAAAATATAATTGTAAGGATTGCAATGGAAAGAAATAGTGGTTCGTTGGATATTGTACTTCTGGAGATATAAAATCGGAATGGAATGATTGAGATTAAAACTGATATCCATTCTGAAAAATATGAAAGGTCAAAAGCAAGTAACAATCTCCGAAATGAATATGTTAATATGAAATTTGAAAGAATTATTGCAAGAAATGGTCCAAAAATATAATTTCCAAAAGTCAAGAAAGAACAAATTCTAACGAACATTGGATATAAAGGAAGGTAATATATAAGATGATTTCTTTGACCCCCGACGTATCGATTCCATGGATTGAGTTTTGGTTTAGAATAAGAAGTGATAGCGTTGAAAAGGAAATCTGGACCATCTCTGTATTTTAAAACAGATAAATACGAGTGTTTGATGATAAGAATGGTCAAAATGAGGATTGTTGGTGAAATATTGAATAAAAAAAATTTAAAATCTTTATTTGAAAGCTTCCAAAAGTCTGTAGGACACTTCATAGGCTTAACAGATCGTCTAATCATTATTAAATAATGATTTAATTGGTTAAATTTTATGTTTTCCATATAAAATATTTTTTTCAAAACATTTAATAAAAAAGTGACATTTATTTGAGTTCTCAAAATCAGAATTTCAACTATAAAAGCCTTCACAAAAGATTTTGATTTGTGAGTATGCTCTTTGAGGCTTCAACAGGGCTTTGAGAGGAGGAATCTCTTATATTGCAAAGAAAGCAAAGGATAATTTAATAAAATCTTGAATTGAATTCTTCCAAATGACTGTTGGAGTTTTCATAGGCCTAGCAGATCGCTTAATCATTATTACGTAATGGTTTCATCGGTTAAATTTTCAGTTCTCCATAAAAATATTTTTTCAGAACATTTTAAAATAAAAAGTGACGGTTACATCGGAAAATTTTGTAAAGAATTTACAAATATTCAATTTTTTTTATTTTAAAAATCATGGAGAACGCATTTTTGATGACTCCTAAAGAATGCAAGAGCTATATGTGGTCATATAAGGAAGATGAAGACCGTCTTGAAATTGACCTCGAACTTAATCAGCAAGAAGTTGAAAAATTCAACTTTTTATACAATCAAGAACAAAACTCGCTTAAATGCACAATTTCCGATAGCAAATATCCGCTTATCTCCGGTATATTCTATGGTGCCACCCGTTATGCTGAGTACGTTCAAGATGGCACTAAAGTTATTATTACAATCAAGAAAGCCGAAGGAGTAAACTGGCCATATATTATGAAGTCTCCGATTGCTGAAGATGGCGATCTTGATTTTAACTCAACATTCTTGAAGTTCCTTGCTACACAAGATGAACAATTAGAAGTTAAGGGCAAAGCCTTATTGAAAGGTGGTTTCATTCCAGCCATGATGTACTATGCTCAGAAGGCACTTGATCAGGGCAACTATGAAGAAGCTTATGCTATTTTAGAACCAGCAGTATATTATGACGGATATTTACCAGCAATTTTGTTGCTTGGTGAAGCTCTTCTTGACAAATGCCCAGAGACTGCATCAAGATTACTCCAAAGAGCCCACAAACTCGGGAGCGCAAAGGCTGCACAACTTTTGGGAAATTTAAATAACCCTTTGACAAAATATAAACTGGAGAAAGACTACAACCTTGCGATTTACTACTATAAGTACGCAATAGAACAGAGAGATCCTGTTTCTATGGTTTCTCTCGCTCAAATGATCGAAGAAGGCCTCGCTCCAGAGACAGGATTCACTGCTGAGAAGTTGTACGAAGAGGCTCGTGCTATTGACCCAACAATTGTTATCCAGAAACGCCATGGAATCCCATTCAATCTTTCTAAAGTTGGAATTTCTAAACCACTTATTGTTGGCGGAGCTGTTATTGCAGCTGGCTTCCTTCTCTATAAGGGTATTAAGCGCTTCATGAATCATAAATAAATAAGTTTATTTTCTCTTACTTATAAATTTTTTTTGGATGAAATTAAAGTTGTTAAATCCGCAATATGTAAACACATATATATTACTATGAATGAGTTATATAGTGTTTTGAAATGATCGACTCAAATCATGTAAAAATCATCTTCACGATAATTAGAAATGATATATAATATAAATTAATGAAATCATTGCTCAAATACTCATATAGGTAAATCGTTGTAGTGATGATTGGCATATAAAACATGAGATATTGAAATTTATCTCCAACAATTACATCCACACTTAACAATAATTCAAACTCATCCGTATAAAATATTAGTACGTATTATTATGGATTTATTCTTAGATATTTTTAATCAATTTGGCCAAATTTTTGAACTTGAAGATTGATTTTTGAATAAAATCAGACAATTTTATCTATTTGTGGATTATAAATTTGGATTCAAAAAATTCAATTTCAAAAATAATCTAGATCTATAGTAATAATTTTATTTTTTTGAAAGTTCAGGACATTTTTCTGAATCATTTTGTATCGTTCAATGTTTACTCTCAATTTATACTATTGAAATAATTTTGTCTATTAACTTCTATTAATATCAAAGAATCACTTTTCAATTTTAACGTCTATCACTCAATTTTTTTGCAATTGTTGTAAAGAAAAATGTGGTGTACCACAGTATATTAAGCAATATTTTTATTACTCAGAATTATTTTTCAATACTTTACAAAATCTTCCTCAATTGTATAATCGAAATTTAAAACATTAATAAGATAGAAAACAAATTAAATAAATTCAATCTTCTCAAATTAAAATTCAATTTATGGAGGAACGTTTCCGCCAGGTCCTCCTTCAACAAGAATATGTCATGTTAGATTTATTAGGCAAAGGCGGTTATGCAGTATGCTACAAAGTTAGAAGCTTAAAATGGAATACAAATTTCGCTTGTAAAATCGTATTAATGAATAATGAACAAAAGAATGGTTCAATAGAATCTGTACATGACGAAATTAACGTTTTAGTACATCTTTATCATGCAAATTTAATACATTTATACGATAATTTCATAATTGATGGATACGGATATATGATTATTGATTATTGCCCCAACGGTTCAATCAAAAAGTTTAAAAAGAAAGGCTCGCAAGTTACTCTCCCATTACTCTCGTTATTTTATCAAGTTTTACAAGGTTTACATTATCTCCATCAAAATGGTTATGCACACCACGATATCAAGAGTGCAAACATACTTCTTGACGAAGATAGAAGACCAAAACTCGCAGATTTCGGAATGTGCAAGCATTATGATGAGGGAAAATATTGTCATTCTTATAGAGGCTCAAAACAATTTGCATGTCCAGAGATACACCAGCATTTACCATATGATCCTTTTAAAGGAGACATTTGGTCTTTGGGAATTTGTTTTTTCGAAGTTATTTTTCATAAACTTCCATGGCCTAAAAACAAGGAACTATTACAAGCTTCGATAATTGAAGGCGGCCCAATTATCCCTCCTAAACTTCCCTTTAATTTGTCAAAATTATTAATGAGGATGACCGCAATGAACCCAGCGAGCCGTCCAACAGCTTTGCAATGCATGGAATTTCTAGATTATGAAAGAGCTCAGGCTCACATTCCTAATTTAATTCAGCGTAGACTTAAGTTTGCGATTTGCATACCTACAGATATTAAACGCGAAAATAATGTCTTAGGTTCATCAAAAAAGAACAAAATATAATATTAGCTTGTTTGTATATAAATAAACTGTTTGTATTTTCTTTTAGTTAAGTTTCAATTTATCTATACCAGATGTTTAGTCACCGGCTTTAAGGAGTGCAAACTTCAAACCCAAATTGATTTTTTTTTTCCAAATATTTTATAAGTTTCTGTGACTTTTGAATAATAATTAATTATTACCCGATTTTAAGTAAAACAAAATGCTAAACAAGTAAATAATCATCTTATCGATTATGTTCAGATCGATTTCAGAGTTAGCTTGCCAAAGGGAAGACAATACTTCTGCTAATAAGCGTAACTATATGCGTTTGCTCGTAAAATTTTAATAATGCTTGTTGTTTATCCGAAACCCATAAAAAAATCATCGGAATTTTTGAATCAAAAAATCGGATCAAAAATTAATCGTCTAGATTGAATAGAACTAATAATCAGAAATAGAACTATTGATCAGTTATTCAATTGTAATAAAAGTGACATCTATCTAATCCGATTGATTAAATTTCATCATTACAATTCAAATGCATTAAATAATATATCACTTTTATACCCTGAAAATTTCAATAGTAATTACATTATTTTAAAAATCAAATTGAGTCGCTCATCTTCTTGTATCTTTACATTGCAAATGCAATAATAATGATGATCAACTTCTTCCTAAAGCCCCATGATCACTATGGAAGAGTCAAGATGGTTTATTTCGTAACAAAATTCTTAATCATGCCTCTCCTTGCAGCATATTATTACTTTGAATCTGAAAAGCTTTATACTGGAGTTATAGCTTATACAATTTTACACTGGTTTGGCGATATGGTCCTTTTCTTTAATTATAAGTTTTCGCTTCTTGTCGGCGGAATCTCATTCACTATCGGTTATATTACCCTAGCAAACGCATTTACGATCAATTGGTCTCAATTTCCAGTTATTGCAATATTTCTTGCTCTGCCTTTTATTGTTTATCAGCAATATAAGATTTCAGAGTTTGTAGATGTAAAGAAACCAATCAGTATCTGTATGTTCATTTACTGCTGCATTTTGGACTATTGTCTGATTCGAACTGCAGCACGCATCGATCAATATGGCTTTACGAATATATACTTTTTGCTTGGCTATATTGGCTATGCCATCTTTATGCTTTCTGATTTTATACTCATTCTTACGATGTGGGGAAAAATCAAGAGACCATGCAAGATGGAAATATTAGGAACTTACATGCTAGCACAATTGATGCTTATTATAGCAGTTATGCATTAATCTTTAAGTTATATTTTTCTCTCTTTAATATCTTTTAGAGACATTGCAATAACGAACTTAAAACACTTAACTTTCATTATATTTTACTCTATTTTGCTTTCCTTTATCATTTTTTTTTTGAAATATACCAAACTTTTGTCAATTTCGCAAGATAATTAGAGGATCATAATTATGTAGAAAAATATAACGAATAACTACCAAAATACAATGATATCTCTATTATTACAAAATATTTTGTGATTAATTGTTTGGAATTCACCAAATTTAACTCAACTACAATCCCTTACAACAGGGTATAAAGTCTTACTCTATGAATTCGATTTTTGTTGCTAATGAATTTTTCAATTTCAAAAATCTAAAGATATATTACATGAGAAATAGAAGTGTTAAAAATATAATTCTCTCATTTGGTAATAAAATCGAAAATTTGATTTTTAAAATCTTACCAAGTTGTTGATGATGATTCACTTTCTTCATCATCATCTGAATCATCTGATCCAGCAACTGCATCTCTGATTGAAGCAGCTCTTGCAAGAATTTCCTGGAGAGAGAGTGAGTTTGGATCGACATTTTCGACTTCTGGTTTCGGTGGTGGAGGAAGAGGCTTTGACTTATCGACCTTCTTGAGCTTGAAGCCACCTTGCTTGATGAGATCTAAGTGAGTCATTGGAGCTGGTGCTGGCTCTGGTGGTTTTTCAACCTTCTTCAGCTTGATGCCACCCTTGAGCAAATCTGCTGTGGATGGTGCGCTTCCTCCTGGTGAAGCTCTGCCGCCTGATGGAGGAGGTGGTGGAGGAAGATTTGCTGGAGGAGGTGGTGGTGGCGGAGGAGGTGCTCCGCCAGCAGATTTGGATGGAGCAGATGGAGCGGCTGGTTTTGAGGCAGCTGGCAATGAGACAGAAACTGTTGCCTTGTAATTTGTGCCTGCTGTAGTTTGGAGAGAGATTGGAACGGCGCCATGAGAAGCTTTACCCTTTGATGGTGGGCAAACAAGGGCAGTTGGGCGTGGCGGTGGGGAAGCAAGAGCGCTGATCAAGTCTTCTGAGCCCTGCTGGTTATCTGCCTTCTCTTCTGCCTTGCGTGATCTCATCTGCTCGTTTTCGAGTTTGGCCTTCTCCTTTCTTGCCTTTGCTTCGGCTTTCTTTTTCTCTTGCTCTGCTCTGATGTTGTCAATAAGTTCTTGCTTGTATTGGATCTTGACGAAATTAGGATTAGAGTGAAGGATGTTGAAGTTGACAGTCTTATTGGGATCTGATGGATCGCAACCCTTGGTAATTGCTTCGAAAGCTGAGAAGTCTGGTGCGGGGTCTGCCTTTGTGATGACTTTCTTAACAAGTGTTGGTTGATCGAATTCGAATTCCTTGTTAACATCGTCATCGTTTTGAGCATCCTTTGGAATTGGGAAATCTGGAGAGCTGTAGGGCCAGAACTTCCTGTTGGTATTCTTAACGACTTCAATGGCACCTGGTAACTTTGCCTCAAGAGCTTTTGATCTTTCTGAGATGTCTTGGATTCTCTTAAGAATGGAATTCACTTGATTTGCGATGTCAACGAATACTTCCATTGCATAAGCTGTTAAACATTCAGATTGGCGAAACAAACCTACTGTTCGAATGTTTGCAAGGGTATTTAGCTTCATATCCTCAGGGAAACCCTTAAATCGGACAATACCTGGGTGGCTGTCCAGTGCAACGATTGGGCGAGCGGGAAACATTTTGAATCAATCAAAACGTTATTTTGTCAGAAATGACTCGTTTATGAAAACCCATTTTTGGTGACATTTTAGAATATTTTCATGTTACAGAAATCGATGTTTAATTTCAATTCAAAATTTGTGACACTTCAAAATCTCGACGGTTTGTTTTACGAAACAGTCACTAAATTTTTATTATTTTAACTCCATTTGCATCACTATACATTTTTATTTTTTTATTCCTTTCAAAAGATTTTATTTTGAAAGGAAATCAAATTTTATATCTGACTAATGGAAGACCAACAAAATGAATCGGAAATTTCAAAAAAGCATAGAGCTCAATTTTATAAGGTATTATCTTATTAAATAACATTCAAAATTACAATTTCCGAATCTAAAAATGTAAAATTCGCTATGGATTCAATTTTAATTGACGAACCATAATGGCTATGGAATTTTATGCATATTTCTTTATTTAAACATTCTGAAATTTTGCTGCTGTTGCAATATGGCGAAGAATGAGTTACAAAAACGTGAATGAATAAAGAATTGATGATACTGGCCAATACAAATATCAAAAAACCAAAGAATGTATTAAAAAACAAAACAGATTATTTTTATTAATAAACATTGAACATATCTAATTATGATATGCAGGATCACTATAAGCTAACTTTTGTCTTATGCTCCACCTTAAACTATCGCGTCTTCTTTCTGGAGGAGGAACATAGTCTGGGAATCTCTCTTCATACAATAATCGTCTTCCTTTCTTTGCAGCGACCGGACCTTTCTTTTTATTTGGTTTAACTGGTGGTGGTCGGATAAATCCACCTACTAATTCCTTTTTAACTGCAGGGTATGGATCAAGCTTTCTTTCTGATGTTCCAAAGTACATAGGAACATCCACTTCAACACCATCATCTTCTGGTGGATCTTCCATGATGATATCACGACATTCTTGTAAGTTTTGATCAAGCTGATCAGCTTTATTTCTCAGATCTTGTATCCTTTTAGCCCATTGAGCTGTTTCTTCATCATCATCGTCATTATTTTGTAATTTCGAATTTGAAACAGGATTATTTCTTTTTGGTGATGATTGTTTCGAACTTGAGTTAATTTTTGTCTCTTTACTTGGTTTCGGCGCTTGATTTTCTTTCATTAATGATGCTTTTGAGTTAATTGATCCTTTTGATTGCGAAATTCTGCTGTTTTCTTTAACAGGTGATTGATAAGTTGGAGATACAGAATTCTTTATAGGTGGCCTTTTCCTGGGCTTGATTTCTTGAACTTCTTCCTCTTCTTCTGTTTGAGAATCTGTTTCTGCGTCATTTTCATCGTTAAGCGATAGCATAAACTCTTTTAATGTTTCTGGATGGATGTTTTTATATCCTTTTTCTTCAAGAAGTCTGCGTACTTCATTTTCGTCTAATTTACTCATGTTTTATGAAAATGACCGTTTATTTATTAGAATTCCTCAAATATAAACGATTTCTAAATTATTTCTTTAAAAACATGATATACTACTAATTTTACATCTATACTTATGTAATGAAAGACTTTGTAAACATTTTTGAAAAATAATTTTTTAAACAAATAGATAAAATACAAGTATTACTGACATACATATTATTAGAAGAAACTGGAACCTTTAACAGTATCCATTCTATCTGAGTATATTTGAGTTTCCATTCTTATTGATTCTTGCTTGAGCTGACGATTATCTTTCTTTATTTGTGTTAATGACATATTAGATGCTTTAATACTCTGATTTAAAATCACGTTTTCTTTCAAGATTTCTGTAAGTTTTCTTTCTTGATTATTAAGATCTTCTGCTTGCTGCTGTATTCTCTCAGAATGCGTTTTAACTGCATCAATAGCGTCATTTATTTCTGCTTTCATTGTTGTCTCTTCTTCCAAATATTTAGTTTGGAGTGTTCCGCGTAATTGATTTAATTTATCAAGTTGTTCTTGAGCATGTTGAAGCTCACTTTGATATCTTTGGATCTTTTGGTCTGCATGGTGTCTAACTTTTTCTAAATAGTCTTGGTTGCCTTTCTGTTTTTCAGCATATTGATTCTTGACTGATTCAAGTTTAGCTTGGTTTTGTTCTTGCACTAATTTATATTTTGTTTCCATTTCTCTCTGTTTCATTACATTTTGCATTCTAATATTCTTAGTAGAAGATTGAACTTCGGTAATTTGAGCATCCATTTCATCAATTTTCATGAGTAACGCATGCATTTTATTTACACTATCTGTGTTATTAGTATTAACTTTGGTAGTTTTATTAAGAACTCTTTCAGTCTGATCCATTTTCAAAACTTCTAGTCTATGTTTTAGATTAGCTAACTCAGCCTCTTTGCGTGCTCGCTGTAATCCTTGTCTATGGGTTTTGTAAACGTTAGATCCATTTGAAGCCAATTCAATTTTAGTTTTCATTTCAGCAATTTCGTTTTTATATCTTTCGTCATATGATTTTAACTCTTCCTTATTTTCATCTTGAAGCTCTTTCATTTGTTGTTTGAGAAGTTCTTTTGTATCATTAACTTTTATTTTTAAGTTCGCGATTTCATTGTTGAGAATAGATTCTTTTTTAATGCATTCTGCTTTAAAAATCTCAATCCGCTCTTCTGCTTGCTCTATTTGTGTTTTTACCTCAGCAATATCACGATTCATGTCTTTTTTGATGATTTACCATGCTTAACGTACATATTTTTTTTGTATAAATAAACGTACAGTATTCCAATATCTTTATTCTAATAGATACACATCTAAGATTGCATCACTATAAGATTTTCTAACTTTGAAGAATATTTATTCATTCATTCACCAAAATATACTTTTGATATCTTGGATATTTCATTGAAAAGTTGCAAAAATGCGCGAATAATAGAAACAAAAGCATAAAAAGACAAATATATGCATACATTATACACAATTATTGTTAAATTAATAAAATTCGTAAAAAATATTTTTATTTTATCACTGAAATTCAAGTTCGGAGTTTATTCAAGGAATGTAACTTTACGGAGAACCTGCTTTGGATCAACATCTGTATTTTTGGCCTTTCCAATGCCAATGCCTAAGCAAAGAGATCCTGGAGCAAGATTGAAGAGTTGTTCAACCTGTGGACGAACAACAATTCCCATTGCAACAGTAGAGAGGCCGATTGATTCAGCAGCTGTCATGATACTCATTGCAAGAATGCCTGTATCAACGCCAAGGACCATTGGATTGGCACGCTCATTCTTAACAAGAAGAATAAGAGAGGAGCAGTCGTACATTATGATTTGCTTGACGCCGTATCTCTTTTGACGATTAATAAAACGTTCTTTGGACTTATCATCCAGTGCACTGTAAACAACATCGTTAGCCTTCTGGATAAGTTCCTTGTTTGTAACAACAATGATGTCGTTTTCTTGGGCATTCAAAGTAGAAGGAGAATTCAAGGCAGCATCAAGGATTTTCTGAAGGTCTTCCTTTGGGATAACATACTCTGGGTCGTAGCATCTGATCGAACGACGTGCCTTAAGGACTTCAAGAGCCATAATGACAAAATGTCACTTTGAAGGAACTCTCAAAATATTCTGATTGTTACACTTTTCAGAACATTCATTGGTAAAGATAAGGGATAAGTTGACCTAAAAATAAGAAACTCCTTTACGAAAACCGATTTTATGGAGAAATTCATTTTTATTGTTACATATAATGTAATAAACAGAAATTCATCAAAAGTGACAGCTCTCAATTTTTTGACATTTGTAAATTCTAAATTGAATGAGAAAAATGAAATAATACTAAGCATAATACAATATTCTAGATTTAATTATAATTAGGAAAAAGTTAGTTTTGAGAGTACTTTTCATAGGCATATAGAATGAAATCTTCTGAAAAATAATATCACATAAACTCATATTATTTTCTAATATATAACTATTTTATATAAAAATCAAATTCAATGATCTTAAAAGCGAAGGATAAACCTCAAAATTTACGAATATAATGAGTGGGAATAGGCGTAAAGCAAAAATTGATATTTCATATGGTTTTATGATAGATAAGCATTATATTCCCACTCATTATATTCGTAAATTTTGAGGTTTATCCTTCGCTTTTAAGATCATTGAATTTGATTTTTATATAAAATAGTTATATATTAGAAAATAATATGAGTTTATGTGATATTATTTTTCAGAAGATTTTGTGTTCTTCTTCAAAATTTTATTTTTTTATTAAAAAGAATCTTTACAAAATATACATTTACTTTAATTACTATTTAAAAACGTGCTCTATCAAAAGTTCCAAAAATTCAATATTTTAGCTTTTCTGAGGTGTCACTTTTGATGAATTTCTGTTTACAACAATAATGCCCATTGGTCATGATAATTTATGCCATGCAATGAAATCAGGAGAACCGATTTATAAACCGGTAAAATTCTTTCAAAAATTGAATGCTTTTTATTGTATGACTTGTAAGAAATTAATTTCAATAATTCTACACACCCGTAAAATTCGAATTCTATTTGAAATGACGACTTCATAATAGTGTTTACTGGAGATCATTCATCCATTAAATTCATCTTTCTTAAAGCAGCTGGTTGCAGGATACGGAGCGTAAATAATACATTAAATTTGAAATATGAAAAGATTTCGAATATCATGTGACTGGGAAACATTCTATTCAGGATATAGTAATGTTAAATACAAGGAAATCAAAAATGAGAATCCCAATGGATCAAGTTATTATGTTCTCGAATGCAATTTCTTAAGGGTGCACACGAGAGGATCATGTAAACTTCAGAATTTAGAACCTTATTTTTAGGCATTATCTTGGCTACCTATTTAGGCTCGAAAAGCAAAAAATATCAAAAAATACAACTTGACTCCATTATGACCCTTTCATTGAGGTAGTTTTTATCCGCTAGTATTTTCCCTTTGAATCTCTTTACAATTCGAAATCAAATTCAAATCTCAGTAGAAGAAAGGAAGAATCGACTTACTACGGTTGTAATACGAATAAATACATATATTTAATTATTTTTATTTACATAATAATTGTTTGAAGCTCATATTCCATCAAATTTTTAGGGCTGTACAAGATTTAAAAAAACATTGCCGGGTTACCGTAGAGGCCTAAAAAAATCGCGCCTCGGCGGCAAGCCGCCTCGGCATTAAGAATGCGCATCTAAATTTTTATATGTCCTTCTTTCTTTTATTTTTCCCTTCCATTTCTTTTCTTTTTCTTTTTCCCCTCCTCTTGCTCTCATTTACCTTTTTTTCCTTTTCTCATCATTTTTCAAAATTTAAAATTTTTATCAAAAATCTTGCCTATAAAAGCAGACTATGGAACCTTTTAATGCCTCTTAATCAATATTATACAGCATAAAGCATATTAAATGAAAGTAATTACGTATAAATTTATTTTATTATCTTATTTATTAATTCTTTAGCATGTATTGTTTAATATTAACTTTTCTGTACATTAAATATGATATCTCCAAAGTATGAATGCCTTGTAACGAAACGAAAACTTAATTTTATGTTGAATATTTGTCACAAACATTAGATTATTAAAATATATGTTGGATATCCCTTAGTATGAGACTTCATGACTCTTGTTGTCTAACGTGAGCTTTGGATTGCAAGCTCTGTGGTTAACGAACATAAATTAATTGTAAAGTTTTCAAAAATTTTCATTGTTTCTATCAGCATCTATTTTTCCTTTAAAATAATATATTTGTATGAATACAATATTTAGTAATTTTTTTATTTCCCATAATTTCATTCAAAATTTCAGAAAAAATTAATTTCTATTCAATATTATTTCAGCTTCAAAACACTTCATTCTTATAGATGTTGATTCACTAAAGTGTGATTCTATTTATATGAGGTAGGGGCATGAGGCTCGGCAAGTCTTATTGCTTTTTACCTCAATTTAGGTATTAAATGATTATAATGATTCATAGTGGCCGCTGCTGACTGGCCATCAGCAGTCCCCTGGCCAAGATTAATATAATTATTTAATACTTATCCAGTTTTACATCAATAACAACAAAGCTAATCAATCATCATTCAGAAATGCGGGAAATTACTACTAATATTAAAGATTGATAGACATTAGGCTGGCCACCTTCTGTCTAATATCTTTACGAATAAAAATAATACTTTTTAAAACAAATTATTTAATAAATTTTATTAAAAAACAAAATCAAATATCAAATTGATCATCATTCAACTTGATGAAGAAGCGGCATGCTACATATTCTTCTTTGCATGATTCGTTCATTGAATTTCTTGTCTTTCGCAATTCAGATATTACACGTTCTACATCTGCTTCACTGCACGAAAGTGACATCATCCTTTTTCCAATTGGTCTTATTGCTTTTAGTTGCTTTATGCCATTCATGTACCAAAACTTGCCATCATTTTGAGCAAGATGATGACCCTTTATAAGATGGGAATCATCTTGCTCTATGAAGAAATCGTAAGCATCACTCAATTCCTTGCTCTATCGTCTTTATTGATCGTTGGATCAACTGTTGATTCGGCAATTGCTCTTTATCTGAGGATTGTTATCATGAATGTGTATAGATCTTTTATCTCTTCATCTACAACATCCCAGACCAAGGAATTCCTCGAACCATCGGCATTTGTTTCGGCTGCATGATCTCGTTAAGCATTTGTTCCTCTTCTGCTTGCTGGATCTCTTCATCATGCTCGGCTACCTCGTCAACACATTCTGTTCGTTCTTCTTCAAGGATTTCGCCGAGTTTCTCAAATGTGATCTCGCGATTGATGATCCTCAGGGAAGGAATCGTTGGGACTTGCACATCTTTCAACTGCATTATAGGTGGATAGCTTGTCTTTCCTCCAAAACCCTTCTTGTCTCTGATGATCTTCCTTGCTAACGGTGTAAAGCCGAAAGCAAACCGAAGCAAATCAATTCTACCATATTCTTTCATATCATTTTTGAATATTGTAGTGATTAATCGGAGAATCTCTTCACCATCTGGCGTTAATCTTCCTGCCATTTCATCCAACATCCCTTGGCACTTTTGTATCATCAGGAATGCATAAGCACCCATGGACTTGTTGGATTCCAGCCATAATTGAAGTTGCTTTCTTCTATACGAAAAAAAGAGATCTGACGTTGTGTCAGATCTCAGTAAAAGTGACATTTACATGTCAAAAAATATAATGAGTTTAAGTAATTAAAATTGAGGGTGAGAGTAGTATTTTATGAAATAATATCTCTCACCCTCCAATTCATCCTATGGCGCCGAAAAAATTTTGGTGAAATGTGGTCGCATTTCACCAAAATTTCTCGGCGCCATATAGAGAACTAGAGCCTGTGAGGTACTGATACTATCCATGTACCTCGCAGGCTCTAGTTCCAAGCCAAAATGGCTAAAAATTGCCCGCAATTGTCACATTGCGGGCAATTTTTAGCCATTTTGGCTGGGAATTGGAGGGTGAGAGTAGTATTGTATGAAATAATATCTCTCACCCTCCAATTCATCCAAAGGCTAATATTTTCTACATTTCCATAACATTCATTTCAACGGAAACTCATTCAAAATTCTATATATTTAATTTTTCAATCTTATTCAATTTCATATTCAAAATTAATTTGAATTACATTCAAAACATTTATACCTTATTAATAACATAATATCATTTGTTATCAATATACCAATTCGGCTGTTCTAATTTTGGATTCCCATTCATAAATTGATCAATCTATATTGAAACCTATTCAAATTATTTTCTTATTGATAACATTTTATTTTTATTTGTCTTCAACTATTCATTTATTTTATCATTATTTTTCGATTTTTTTTAGTTTCAAATTTTTTATTATCTTTATTGTTTTTTATTTTTCTAATTTTTAAAATTTCTGCTTAGAATCTTAATCTCATTTTATTTTTCAATAAAAATTCATGTTTACCAATATTCAATCACTTTTCTCGTTCCCCAAATTTTTATTTTATCTTAATCGTTACTAATTTCTAACACATTCTTTTTAAAAATTATTCTGATCGTAATTTTAATTTCGCCATTGTAGTTATTCACTAATTTTTAGTTCATTGTTGTTTTCTCATTGTCCAATTTTATTTTCTTCACTTTAAAGATTTTTTTAAAAATTTTACAATTTGAATTCAACTTTTGTGAAAAATATTTTTTCAATAATATCTTTCAAAATTATTTATATTTTCTATATTTTATTCAATTGTTCACAATTTATTATTTATTCAAAATTCATTCTCCTGGATATTTATACCCAAATAGACTTTCACTGGCTAGAGCAATCTCTAACCAGGTTACACCAACATCAAAAGCTATCGTTGCTATTGACTAATGTTCCACTCAGCGATGGTACATCACGTAATTGCATTAACAAGTTAACTTACTACAAAAGCCTTCTGTGCTTTCGTCTTATTACTATCGAAGAGTTTTACAAGCACTCGTCCAGAGAATTTACAAGTTTATACATATTCCATAATGGAAAATTCTACAATTGCATTGAAGTCTTACCAACAAAAGATGAGATCTTGTTGAATCGATACTTGGAAGAACAAGAAATTACACAGAGTAATGGTTCTACTCCTCTTAATAGCGCACAACAACAGCTCAGACCCAGCAATGGTACATCTCCTCTTAGTAGTGCACAACAACAGCTCAGACCCAGCAATGGTACATCTCCTCTTAGTAGTGCACAACAACAGCTCAGACCCAGCAATGGTACATCTCCTCTTAGTAGTGCACAACAACAGCTCAGACCCAGCAATGGTACATCTCCTCTTAGTAGTGCACAACAGTTAAATCCTCAAGCCACTCCTTCAAACCAATCATCTGGTACATACAATCAAATTGCTCCTAATCCCATCAGTTCCGATCAATCAAGTCAACGTGCCAATCCTCCTAATCTCAATCTCGTCCGCACGACCAGTTTGTTGATATTCCACTTTCCCGTGGTAGACCCAAACAACCAGTTCCTGATGATCTCATGCAGGCCATTCTCAATTTATTCGAACAACATGGGCGACATGGTATCATCCCCACTTACCTTAGGCTTAATAAAGATATAGCATTCGCCCATGAGCATGAACAAGATTTTGTTCGAATAAAAGATGGCCTGCTTCCAGTTATGAGCTCAACACAGGACTGGTTTCAGAATGTGCAACGTGACAAGCCTCTCAATCTTATCTCTAAAGAAATCCCCGCTGACATTAATCAAGATGATAACCCTACTCCATATGCTATAAATTTACAAAATATCAAATATCTTCCTCTCCCTCTACCTCAGGCTCCATCAAGGCATATGGTCGAAAAGGCTTTTATCATTCTTGGATTAACACGTCCACGGGGACCCAAGAGACCTAAATGGAGGACAAGATACGAGTCTAGTTAGTATACATATCAAGTGTACGGAGGCACTGCGCGCCTCCTTACCCATTATATGTGAATTTGACACTTTACAAAACCATTAACGTATATTTTACAACACAAACAACAACACTAACCTAACCTTAAATATTTACAAAGCCGCCAACCACTTCACCTCACTAATGTAAAAATAAACGTTCTCACTTACAAAAGTATTGCAACTCCTCCCATTGCTGTGCTTCACATAACAGCTCATAATCTTCTGACTCACTTTCTTCTTCATATAGGTCAAAATCACTGTCAAAATAAATGTTAGTAAGTTTTGACAAAGCTAATGAAACACGTTTACCGTTTGTATCGTATGCTTGTATAAACTTTCCATTCTTCATTCCTTCATAAACGCTCAAACTAACTTTACCCTTTCTCCCTCGTATCTGATAGAATGTATTTTCACGAGGAACGAAGAACAAATTCTTGAACTCATGACCGTTGTAGTTTGTTATCTCAATAGTTTTCGTCATTTATATAAAAATAAAATAAAAAATAATTTTAAAAAATAAACTTAAAAATTAATGATATCACCACCCTCACACGTATGAAAACATAGCACAAAAATAAATTTAGGTGAAGTGGTGAGATCTCACCTCTTTTTTCACCCTGTTGAATTCATTGCTTTATAACTCTCTTCCTTGGTTTCTTTTTAGTTGCTTTCTTCACGTCTGTCTCCAACTTGACTGTCTTTCTTCTTCGTCCGTAATGATACCAGTTACTTCCACCAGTCAATGGGTCAAATGGTTTCGTAAGGGTTTCCATACATTCCATAGGGACCATACGGAAGAACTACTGGTGGAGAAGAAACATTTTCTTTAGTTCCATCGAATCTATTTAAATGCATTGTTTCACCTTTCATCTGGTCATTAAAGTCTTTTGCGTGTTTTGCAAACTCATCGTCCTTTCCTAAAGCATTTTCTGACTCAGTCGCAACCAAATTGGATGCTTTATTTATGAGTCCTATTTTATTTAATCTTAACTTCTTTGCAACCCAGCCTCCAATCTTCCCTTTATTTGCATCTAATGTCTTTGAAACCCTTCCTCCACTCATTTTATTTACTGCATCATAAGCTCCAAGTGCTTTTGCTCCAAATGCTAATGCTTTTGTTCCCATTGCGCCTAAAGCTGCCCAAGCTACCATTTACACCATATTAAAATCATCTCTCTTCAATATTATCTCATAAAAGTTCTCGTTACTGGAGAAAGTCAATGAAACATAAGCGTTCTCACGGGCTTCGCCCTCACCGCTTTGCGGTCTATCTAACTTCTTTCTTATCTCATCTATACGCTTCAAAATGTCTGAACAATTGCTAACATCTTCTACAACAGTTATTTCATCATGAATGACCTTCAAGAACAAGCTCATTTAATATGCTATTAAAATCATCTCAATAATGAGTCCATCCTTTCCGTCTTTTGGTAGCACAACATCTTTCATTGAAGAAGGTTCGACAAGTCTTATGTTAAACTTACTGACAAAGTTTGTTATACTATAATGCTTCGGCGGCGAATACATGTAGTTTGAAAGACATAATATAGATTCTTCAGCAAATTCACTTATACTGGATTTTATAACAATGTTCTCACGAGACCAAATACCACCAATTGACAATCTTGTAAGCAATCCTGCTGAACCTTCTACTGTAAACGTCGATGGTAACATTCCACGAAGGTCATCTATTGACATCGTTGAGTCACTGTATTTAAATATTTTCTTAAAGCAATCGTCATTATCTAACCATGCAATAGCTTTGAAGTTTTCATTCGAATAGACATCTGCTTCATTAAATGTAAATCCTGACTTCTTTGCAGAGACGACTTTAAAATCTATTGCATTTGTTTCAAAATTATATGCTATGCTAACTTCTGATGGTAATGGGTGCCCTTCTGCTATAAGTTGTTCTTTCAATACCGTTTGAAGTTTTGTATTAAAAACTTTCATGTCATCTCCTGTGTCTAAGTTCACATACACAGCAACAGGAAAACTATCTTGCTTCTTTGTTTCATCATTATATCTCAAAACATTAAAGTTCTTCAATAATATTGTTCTTCCTGCTGGAATACTTCGAACCTGTCTGATTTCAATAGCTTTCTCACCTCCTACATATTCTACCCAGTGTCTTGGATATTCATAAGTATACTGACTTTCTTGAATTTTGGTTGGTTTCATCATAACATGTTCATAGTATATCTTTATACTCTTGTCAGTTAGACTCGGTGCTATTTCTGAATATTTCTGACTTGCATTTTTAATGGAGATAAAATGAAGCATTTAATACATGACGTAGATGAAGACATGAATGAAACTACAGACAAACTTAACTCTTCTCTTATTCTTCCTTTCAGCAAAGATTATGAGTTCTGTTCAAATGGTGTTTATTTCTATTGTGGAAAGATGGGTTCAGGTAAGACATTTAACCTCATTCGTCATATACTCATAACAGAACGTTTAGGAAATGACTCATATTATGACCAAATCATTATATCAGCAACTTCAGACTCTATGGACTCAACAGCGAAAACATTTATGTCAAAAGTTCAAGCCTCTGTCGTTAAAGTTCCAGACAGTGAACTCATTGAATTTCTTCAACGTTACATTCGACGTAAGAGGAAATATTATGCCATCGTTGAATTTATACAGTCAGGAATGCAAAAGACTTCTGAGGAGATGGAAAGAATTATTGACAAACACCACTTACGTCAATACTCAGGAGTTTACGATATGAAACGACTTACAAACTACATTCTGTCAAAACTTTCAAAATACCCTTCAAAAAGTATCCTTCAAACACTCTGCTCGTTTGTGACGACTTCGCCGGAAAAGGTTTAGTGTCAAAACCAGACTCACCATTAGCTAACATCATTACTAAAGTCAGACATTATCACTTAACTGTAGCAATACTTATGCAAACATGGAGGTTTTTAGCTTTAAACATAAAACGTCTCATAACTGACTTCGTTATCTTTCAAGGTTTCTCACGTTATGATATTGAACTCATTTGGAAACAGTCAGGTATAACATTACCTTTTGAAGAAATTTGGGAAGCATATAAGTCTCTCATCTCTCCTCGTTCATACCTTGAGATTCATATCATGACTAATACCATTAAAGTCAAAAATATTCCATGGGAACGACCAACATTGTTTTAAAGTTTAACCTTCAATTGACTGATGGTAAACAAATTCCATGCATCTCTGTCGCCATTTCTGTTAATATTTTTGCTGTCATTCATATCATCCACTTCCCCATCCGTTAGCTTTTGAGGATATGCGTTAGAATAGCTGTTCTTAAATGAAGGCTTTTCACCTTTGAGAGCATAAACTCTATAACTTTCTGCATACTTTATGTTTGAACCTCCTGAGCCATCATTGACATAAATTTTTATAGGCTTCCACCCTTTGTTCATGTTCCTGCTTCTTCCCTTAGCTCTTTTGTTCAGTAGTTCTACATCTTTATACACAGCTCCTGTCTCAGTGAATTCAACAATATTTTCATTCGTTAGCTTTACATTCAAACCCTTGTCGAGTATATTGTTCATTTCATACATATAAAAGGTTTTTATTCTATATGAAATGAGAAGCAAATCCATCTTAGCTGGTGCCGTTAATGTTCCAATTGAACCAACATCAAATGTTGACTCACGAACGACAAACAATATTGTCATAAAGAACTATAGTTCAGAGTGTTTGAAAGAACCAGAACCAGAGCTGAAATCCGTGAATTTAAACACAGCTTCAAACGCTAACGCTACATCAGATGTTAAGTTAGAGTATCCACCACTGGACCAAATTCTTTCAAGAGAAGCCAACGACAATCCTTACACAAATGTTCAAACAAATCCTTCAGATAACGTAGACCATTACCTTCTTCAGTTATACCAAACAATTTTACTCAAAGACGATAAGAAGCTTTTGACAAATCTTATAAGCAAGAACCAAATAATTCTAACAAAGAAGGACCTTGAAAATGTTATTTCACGAATAACAGGGAAACAATGTGTCATTGACTATCTCGACCCTGAAATCGAATGCTGTGGTCAAACTCCACTATTCATGAAAATAGGTAACATCCGCATCATTGAAACACCAGGAACTACAGGAGTTGAGTTTAAGTATAAATATTCGAACGAGTATACAAAACTTTCAACAGAATATAAACTTTGCTTGAAATATGTTTTAGTAAATTAAAGCAATTTGTAATATCTATCCAAAACTTCTTCAACAGTATCGAACTCATCTTCATAATGCAAACCTAATCTTATTGACTTGGTGCAGTTTTCACTAACACAATATTTTTCTGTTCTCTTGACTGACATAACTAACTCATTTGTTTCATCAAACAGCAACAACCAAAGTTCATGACCTAATACATAACATTCATACTT